TTACAAGGTTCTATTTTGGCTCCATTATGTTTTTCAATCATTATTAACGACTTTCCGAATTCTCTTCTTCACTCTGATATCATACTCTTTGCTGATGACTCAACGCCATATCTTCGAGGCAAAAACTTGCCTGAACTTTTGACCAAGGCAAATACCGACTTAGAAAATATTCAAGCTTGGTTGTCTGCGAACAAACTCACTATTAATGTCGATAAAACTAAATATATGATATTTAGCACGCCGAAGCAAAAGTGTCCAACTCTGCAACAAAATTTGGAATTAAATGGAATAAATATAGAAAGAGTTAATCAGACTCGCTTTCTGGGTGTAATGATCGATGATAAATTGTCTTGGAAACAACACACCAATATGGTTCTATCGAAAACAAGGTCGTCTCTTAGTGCCATTACGAAAATAGCCAACTACTTAAATACATCTTGTTTAATATCTCTATACCACTCTCTGATAGAAAGCCATATTCGTTATTGTGCCTCAGCTTATGTTCATCGCCAATCGTCCATTCTAAAAAAAATTCAAAGTGTTTGCAATCGCTTTATTAGAAGAGTTTTTCATAGAGGTAATCGCGAAAAAATTGATGACTTATTTAAAGAGCATAGGCTACTACGAGTTGTGGATTTAGCTAAATTCGAACTATGTAATATGATGTTCTCTTGTCACATTGGAGAGCTTCCGTCCAGCCTGAACAGCCTGTTCCAAGCAAACCCAAATTCAAACAGCAGAAATAAAGATAATTTTTTTATTCCATTTGTCAGTAAAAGTATTTCACAAGAATCAATCGCAGTATGTGGACCAAAAGCTTGGAATTCCCTACCCGATGACATCAAAATTCAAAATCGAACTCAGAATTTCGTTCCAAACTTAAACAATATATATTATCATCATATTAGCAATTTTCTCTGCTTTGAACATGTTACTGTTTGGAGATTATTTTTTTAAGGTCAGTTCAACACTGAAAGGGAGAGCTGTTGATTATTTGGATTGAATGAACTATCAGGAAACTGTCCTCCTCTTCAGTCACCATAGACCAGCTGACAATTTCAATAACTCCACAGGATACTTCACCCGGATTCAAAATAGAACAATGGACTGAATTAATAACTAGCACACCATTCTAATTTCATTATCATGCGTAATTAGACAACAACAAAAGCACAGCAATTTAGGTTATAGATAGAATGCTCAAATAGTAGGGAGTAGGGACAATGGTTTTTGTTTGAGTAGCATGCTGTTCAATTTATTTCCATTGTTGCTACCACTTTTTCTTCTGCTCATCCCGGGATACCATAGAATTTTATTATTTTAATTTACATTGGAAAATCCATGACATGGTAAAATGGCTTCTCTTTATAACTTATCATTCCCTATCCCACTGTACCTTTATACCTTTCTAATCTTCTGGCTGAAATGCAACCATAATAGGTTTTGTGGAAATGCTTTTTATTAATTTTTTTTATTTTATTTTTTGAAACCTCATTGTTTTTGGCTGAATCCAGAATTTCAAAAAAATCTTTATAATAGTGAGTCATTTGATACATACCTTTATTATCATATTTCGCCAAAACCTGTAGGGTCACATTTTGGCCAGAACAGCCATAGCCCACTTATAACACTGTCGCCCTTGAGTGGTGCATACCATATATGTACACACCCTTTGAACTTGACCATTCCCGCGTTTTATAGTATGTGGTATCATCACTCAATGGTATTGTACATTCATCCAAATTCTTAATTTTTTTTTTTAGAGAAAAATTTTATTACTATATTCATATGCATTGTGTTTCATGTTGTGCTGTGTCTCTATTTATAGATGTTGTTTTGTCTAACAAACTCCTTTGTACAAACAGTTTTGTACACTCCACCCATATCCCTGTTACCGCATCCACCCACCCTCCTCGCACAACTGCCTGTATAAAGGACCATATTGTACATATTTGATTTACCCTATTATAATTTATATATATCAAAGGGGTGTATGCCGCACATCTGTGTTTTAGGCCAATATGGTCTTGTGCATACATCCCGTCTTCAGTATTTATAAGTACTTACTCTTTTATATTGCTTTTACGAGACGAATAAACATACATACATACATACATACATACATACATACATACATACATACATACATACATACATACAATCGAGATGCGCAGTTGTGCACGGGTCACCGGGAATCCCCAGAATCGATTCTGGTGTTTTCCCTAGTGTGATGTTAGACTTTTGGTTCGGTTCCTGTTTCAGTGTTTGGGGTTCGATGGCGCCGTAGGCTTGGGCGTGGCTGGTCTATCAATCTTCCCCGTGGTAACTCTATGGATGAAAGCTAGCCAATTAACTTTTTCGTCCTGGTATTCAACAGATCAGTAAAGTCTACCAGACGTAATACCTGAATACTGGAATACAGAAATAGCAAACCCAGAAATTGTTTTCTTATTCGCGCTGCTACCAGACTACGGTACTATATCAGCTGATATGAGACAAAGCACACACATATACCATAATAGTTTTTAGGGTGGTCACCTTCTAAAAATATAGACCTGTACACTGAAACAGTCAGCAAATATTAGAATATGTCATATTACACTATGACTGTATGATATACTGATATACCCAAACAGGAAAGTTACTAGGCATGAGCAATTACTTCAGTACTTCATGAATTTAGCATTGTACTCTCCACAGAAATACACAGCCATGTTACCAAACTGTAGAAATAATATTGTGACACACTCGCATTTAGTACAATATTTAAAAACTTTAAGGTGAATCGCAGGTCATCCAAGTTTGAGTCTCAGCAAGTTTTATTGTTGCACTCTCGAGTTATGAGTCATTTTGAGTTTCTGCTGTTTTATGTCACAGAAGATGTAATTAACATTTGTGAAGTTGAAAAAATATGAGACCTATTTAATCTTGGAAATGGAATCAACCGACTCTATTTTGAAAATACAAGACCTAACTTTGCTTAAGCTATGACTTAACTTAAATTTGAGTTAAATTTTGCGTAACGGTCTCCCTGCAATTTTTTTGAGGACCCTCGGTCCACTAAAAATTCAGAATAGGAACATGTTATATTGAGCATTGATTTATTGCATGTCGTTAGTACAGTTCAATGTGATGGGTGCAATTGCTTGGTTTCCATCTGTTCATCTATTTGGGGTTCTGTTTGGGCCATTACTCTCGTATCATGTCTCATGTGTTACAAGTAAATACTAAAACTGTTTTCGGCACTATCTCTTATGAAAACCACCACTGCAGTGTTTTTTGTGCCGGTGACAAGTTGCTTTGCGGTCCCTCCAAAACCACTTGGCGGACCCCACTTTGAGAACCAATGTTCTAGAGCAGGCCTGGGCAAGCTTGCGTAGCTTTTGTGGGTATGATGTACCTTTTGATCAATTCTAAAACTACCGACGGGGCCTGATTTATGAGATAATTAATGTAAAAGGTAAGCTCAAGGTAAACTCAATCGATTTTTATGTAACTAAAATGAATTTTACTCGGTGTACTTTTATCGCAGGCGTGGGGATTTTTCTGATGGTAAAATCTTTAAAATAGAGCTAAGTCAGTGTTGCAGGAACAGATCAGATTTGTCGAATTCACAAAATCGCAAAACACGAATAAAAATAGTATGGCACGTTACCTCACATTTAAATGTCCGCGGAATGCGGTGGTATTTCAGAATTGTAATGCTTATATTTCATCAAAGCAGCCGCGGGTTAGGTTGAAAACAACAAGACATTTCAATGTGCCCGTATCAATGCATTTTAAATATATCTATATCGCAAAAATAGATGTAGTATATAAAGTATATCTCACATTTTCAAATCCGCAGATAGCCGTGGTGTTTTAGAGCAGACTTTTAAGCTCGCAACGCCTTCCATTGCATTAAAATTTCCGCGAACCTTGTTCACCTTAAAAATGCTATGAGGACAACAAAGTTATATGAATCACAATGTTTGGTCACCAACGGCATGGTCCTAATTCCGCATTGTTACTCACTTTCCACCATTAATGACAAAATTCGGCATTGTTATGCAAGCGTTCCGTATTCCGCAATGTATTGTCTCGAAATCGCCAGATTTACGTTTTAATGCGCTTTGAATAAAAATTCTAACAAAGTACAATAGATATAGTACTTATTTATATACTTACTTATATATAGTACGTATTTAAATGTGTAATAAAATACAATAAAAACGCGCAATTGACTCTACTTAGTCCGGCCCGCCACTGCATTTTGAATATTCAATGTGGCCCAAAAATAATACCAAAAATAATTGCCCAGCCCTGTTCTAGAGGATGGAAAATTGATCGCTCAAATTATGTAGTAAACTATGCTCATCATATCTTATCTAGTTTTACTTTCTATATTGGTGAATGCTTCAATAGCCTTATTTCCATCCACATCTAAGTTTGTCATGAAGGTATCACAATATCCATTTTAATTATTTGCATATATCTGAATTTTTTAAATCCTGGACCACATCATATTATTAAATTATACATATTATGTTTTATATATAGATGCTTGTGGAAATTGCTAGACACCTCTCCGTCACAGATAAAATGTTTCACAGCACTAGAAGTCATTTACTATGCTAAATTTATTTTCCAAGAAGTTCTGTTTATTTGCTAATTCTTCTGTACCTGTTAGTTTCCTGACAGCGTTGACTTGAGTTGTTTTGAATCTTCAGTCAAATGATTTCTACAGTAATCTCTGTCAACAGGATAAATGTGTTGTTGTCTTAGTGTGCTATTCGTTGTTTACAGCTCTTTTGCCAGTATTTTTTAAGGGCTCAGGACCTTGTGTTTTGCAAACTCAAAACAAAATGAGAATATTTATTCTATACTTCTCATCTATGTATCGTCATATCAGAATAATCATTGATTTGATCTAGATTTTTATTACTTAATTTACATTGTGTGATGAAATTTTATTTGTATATTTCAGCTATATAATATCATATACATTTCTTATGTGATAACGTGTAATACAACAATCTGTCTTATTCTTGGATAGGCATTTGTGACAAGCCTAATACAATGGAGAATAGATCTGTCACAATTTCTGGATTTCCTTCAGCACTGAATGTAATTAAGCTGAAACTGTTTATTGAAAAACAGGTCGAGTCTGGTATTGTTGAGAATGTAACGAAAAATAATGACGGCTCTGCCACTTTTTTATTCAAGGATCCAAGAGGTACGATCAATTTTCATCGTATTGTGTTTACATGATTCTTTTTTAATTTTTAAATTCCTGTAGCATCGGACATAAAAATAATGCCCATTTCCTATTGTCTTGGAAATTGCTCAAAGTTCGCATTATGATTGACAGCCATAGTTATGAATTTAACTTCACAGTTTTTCATTGAAAATGGCCACAATTACACAAAAAAATGCCAGTAAAATTTATTTCATTATTGTGACATTGAATATGAGCATTTGAATTATTTATGATTGCTCAAAAATTAATTCATATGATTCTAATATGTTCTTCTACCCCCGCCGTCGATTTTGAACATTGGATTTATTTATAAAACAGCGCTTTAATTAATGAAAATAACGAGGTTGAATGGATGGTTTTAAATTTTTTCTTTATTCAGATTTACAACAGTTTTATAGATCAAACGTAAATGAATACAAATTTGGAACTTTAACTTATATTCTACGTGTTGTAAACACTGGAAAAGGTAAGTGAATTATTCGAGAGTTTTTTGACCGGCAGAATATTTTAGACTTGGGATAAGAGCTATAATTCTGTTAAATCATTTTAATTCTCTATCTCATTACGATTTGAACAGTCTAAACAAAGAAATTTTAGTTTAAATTTTAATTTAAAATCAATTGATCCATTAATTAATTACGAGGAAAATCGATTCTTTGCCAAACAAAAGACTAACAATAGCAATTTAGCAAAACGATCCATATGAACCCTATTTGCTGAAAATTTACCCTTATTTAACCGTTATTAATACATTTTTAAGCCATTTCTTCTCGACTTGTTCTATCTTTATATAACCATTATTTCATTAGGTGACCCTCATGGAGCCACAGAGAATTTACATTCAAGTTCAACACCCCATCAAGAACAAACAAAGATTCCTCCTGCTAAGAAAGTTCCGAGAACTAACATTCTTGATTTAATGACTCAGAAGAATTTGTATGAAAATTCATATTATTGGAGCAGTTTACCGGTTTTACCTGCTGATGAAGGGTCAAGGTAGAATAAAGTTTAAACCAGCTATTCCCCATTTATGGCTTGATTTGTCAGTTCTGACTGGATAATCATGCCACACAAATTTTTAGTCATAAATTGAAACCTTCTCTCCCCAAATTTTGAATACATAGAACACCTTTATCATTGTTCCACTGCCAATCAATTTCTAGCTTTTGCTAGGAGATCAGTCTTCTTCGGCATCTTCAGCGGTAATCATGAGCTTCGCTTTGCTCTTGTCCTCTTTGCTTCTGATTGTGTGATAAAAATTTACCTTGTTTTGATCAAATTTTTTTAAAAAAGTAAATAAAAACTTACCGTAAATGTCTTAAAATAAGGTAGAGCAATATGAATTTTAAATATATTATAAACTTTTGCACATCAATGTAAAATATTTTGTTATAAAGAAAGTTGTCCAAAATAGCAAATATCAAGTCGACAAAAGATTTTCAACAAAAAGTATAAGCTTTTAGAAATGAAAAAAAAATTGATTGATATATTTTGATTTTGAAGCCAATTAGAAAGTGTTTGTCGATAGGATTTGAGGGGGATTTATGAGATACACTCAAAAAATTTCAATTTATCAAGGAACATTAATTACTCATTCACATAAGCAATAACTCATAACTATAGGTAAATGATATTTACCTATATTTTATTTTTAAAATAAGAAAATCAAAAGAGAAAGAGGGTTAGGATGAATGTGTATTAAACATTTAAAAAGATTTTTATATGTATTGAATCGAAATGTTACGACAATATTGACAGAAACGTAATAAGACAATACTGTGGTGAATCATATCGAGATTATAATAGAATGTATCATATGATATGATAAAACTTTTTTACATTTACGTTAACAGAATGATTTTGAGAATCATGCAATATTAAATTAGGACTAAGAAAGACCAACACACGTATAAAAAGTCGGCAACGAAATTGTACTCAACAAAATTGGGGTGCTCCTGAAGTATACGCACCAAGATGTCGCATAACCTGTACCCTAACCTGGTACACAACCAGAGTTTAGGTTGTGCGCCATCTTGGTGCGCATACTTCAGGAGGTCCGAAATTGGAATTATGAAGAATGGATTTATATTTTTTATATGCTTTTAATCTACAGATGTGTATTGGCTCAAGGCATTGATACATCAACGACCCATATTCAAAAAGTGACAATGCATTTTGAATCAAAGAAACGATCGAATGGGGGACCTGTGTTTTGCATCATTAAAATGATCGATGGACTTCTCATTGTATTTGATGATCTTAAAGGTATATAGAATGACATTGCTGTTACTCAAATTTATCTTATGTATATTGTGACCCATATTAGGAATACTCAATTGTTCAGAGCCATTTGTAGGTTTATGAAGATTACCGTAAATGATGCAAAAGTTTCACCAGAGTGACAGATGTAAATTGCACCACAAGGATGGCCAAATTATTGTCACCATAAATCTATGTAATTTCAGTGGCACTTGGCTTTTCAGTGTTTATCCTTAACTTTTCGCAAAGATGAGCCCACTTCTGAGTGAGTGTGTGTGTCCTTACTTTTAGTATATTCTCTTAAAAATGGAAAATCTTGAACTAAATTTCAAACTGATCTTAAATCTATCTTGTCCGGTTACCAGTCCATGTCAGATATGCGATAATTTGGCCAGATTTTAGTTTTTGGAAGCATGGACTTGATGGCGGAAGAAGCCGTCACCAACCAGCAGTTATGTGAACAAACCAACAGCTGCTAGTAGTCTAGCAATCCTGTCGCTGCATGGGATTTGAGCCTGCGAACACATGCTGGGTAATCAGAGGTGCGGTGGCGAGCGTAATGTTAACGCTCAGCATGATGCGCCACACTGCCGAGCCGTGTGTCAGTAATGTATACTATAGAAGTAAGAGACTAAATTGCTTTTTGCAGATTGTGAATCTTGTCTTGCGAAGAGTGATCAAAAATTTGATGTTGAGGAATTCACGATTTATCCAAAATTAATCCCTTCATATTTCGAAAAGATCTTTGTGTTGAAGGTAAGTTTTGTGTATATATTGCTAAAAATGTTTATACCTAATTTTTCTCATTGTTCATCGCCCTTTGGTATTGCCAATTTGGTATCAACTTCAACAATAATCTTTGCATAATTTTCTTGATGAGACACGGTATAGTTATTTTTGTTGTCTTGTGTACCAACTCATCATTTTTTATTGCCAAACATGATCTCATGAGAGTTAAAAAAAGAAAAGATATTTGAATAGCATAATACATTAGATTAAAGTTTCTACTATATACCATGGTTACTTTTTGTCGGCAAGATGGTCCAACGGATCTTTCAAAATAATGGTAGCTCTTTTGCCTCTCTATATATCGATAGCTGCTTGTATTGGCCTTGAATATAAAAAAAAAATAAATATATATATTGAATTCTATCAATTTTCTCTTTTATTTTAGGGTGTTGGAGACCAAACAACCATGGATACATTAGTAATGTATTTGGAAAGCTGTTCTTCAAATGAAACTGCACCGAGCAACTGTGTGAAAACTGATCTACCTGGTGTTTACAGAATTGAATATGGAAATGAATATGGTACATACAAGCTGGTTAAACTAATTTTCCTAATTATTTGTAACAGAATTCATGTTAACTAAACTTCGCTTCCAGCCATATATATACCTTCATGGATGCTTGCCTAAACCTTGTTCATTGTGAATGTTTTGTTGTAATTTACAAGTTGCCTGTTTTTTAGTAAATGAATAGTATTATCAGTAAATTTTTTGCAGTAAAATTTTTAAATAAATGTGACCCTTCCAGTATTCTACTTTTCTTATTTTTGCTGAAAAAATCAAACAGCTTGATTTGAGTGCACAAAAATTTGGTTTCTATGGAAATTTTTGGCTCATACTGGGGTATGAGTACCAATATGGAGGTAACTAATTCTGTTCGCCTATTTCAGATTAATTTGTGTAAAGGGACTGGCACCTATCGACAGGGAGATATTCTTACAGTTCCCAAGCTGGTAATAACACTAAAATAAGGAAAACCGGAATAAAATTATGGCCTAAACCTAACCTGGTACACATATTTGGGAGTACCATACTTACAATTCATTTTACATGTATCATATCTCACATTTTCAGATGTATCAGAAACTGAAACTCTTCTTCGAAATATAAAAACAAAAAGGTTGGAAGGAAATTCACTGAAAGTATGTTAAAATACGCCGTAAAATATTCTTCCAAATATTGCCACATTATGATACGTGTTTATTGAATATGTTTTTAAAAATTTTGCATTTTTTGATGTAAACTACTGACGTCAATTAGTCAATTAGAGTTCTGAGTACCATTATCAATGAATTTTATTTAGCCAAGTTCAATTCATGAATATCATAATCTTAACAATACTATGTTTAACCATTAAGTCCTGCGAACTATCTTGATACTCGATATGATATGATCACCAAAGAATAGGGTTGGTTCATTCACCATATGATCAGGCTATTTGATCGGCTTTTCTCTCCTTCTGAAAAATATAAAAATCTTATCAGATTGTGCTAAGAATTATACTTTATTTGTACCTATCCATATTCTGAGTTTAATATTAGGTAAGTTACATCATATGCCTATTTAAATTGGACAGCTGTTTTCTGTTTACACATTTCTAATATTAGCAAATTATTAATTTTTCGATCAGGCCACACCTTTGCTGAGGACAGATTGTTTAAAAGTAATTGAAATTTCGACTGACGCAACAAATGACACAATAAGGTTAATATTTGAAAGCAAAAAACGTACAGACGGTGGTCTCGTCACCAGAATTGATAGATTGAAAGACAATCAGGCTTTGGTATATTTTGCACTGCACACAGGTACTTAATTGCTTTTACACCATTTATTAAATAGGATCCAATATTGACAAGAGTATTGTGTAGACGTTGAATCTACCTATTCTTCTGCCATTGTTTAAACAAACCTCATGCCCACCAGCTCACTCAGAACTGAAAAAGACGTCGATATCATGTCAAAACAAATAGATAAACAAAACACGAATAACATGTCCTTTATCAGGCCTTGATTTTATTCTATATAAACCATCCCTAAGTGTGAAAATTTAATAATATTTTTGGTTACAAGAAATGTTACAAAATTATCATGACCATTGATAATTGTATTCAAATTGAAGTCCCCAAGTCCCCAATCAAAAGTAAAAAAAAGACTTCTAGAAGACTTACAGCAACCATTGGCATTCTAAAAGGTTTATATTTGCAATATAAAATTGTCAATAAAAAGCGTTTGGCATCAGATTTGAAATATTCAAATTCAACACTGTAGAGTAAAAATTGTAGAAATTCTTGGGCCCAATACTTTGTTTCAAACAAATGCAAAAAAATTATATAAAAATAAATTTAAAAAATATGCAAATTAACCTTTTCTTCTTTTCTTCGCTTTATTTTATTCAGACGCTGAAAGAATTTTTAAAAAATTCAAAGTACCTTGTAATCAGCCAATTATTATCAATAATAAACCAGTTAAAGTTGAACTATATCATCATTGTCTTGCAAACGATCATCTGAATATATTGGATAATTTCAAACCAACACCTAAAAAGAAACCAGGTTTTACATTAATTCCTATATTATTTTATATTTTCTCCAATAAATTCTATTAATAGTAAAATGATTTATAATGTTTTTGTACATTATGTGAATTGATAATATTGTGTGTTAGTTATGACGATATTTTACTTGGTGCTCCCGGAATATGTGCACCAAGATGGCACACAACCTGAACATAATATGTGTACCAGGTTAGGGTTCAGATTGTGCGCCATCTTGGTGCACATACTCCCAGTGCGCTTATTACATTTACATTACACAGAAAAGGGCTGTAGAGTAGGGAAAAATTTACACTCGACTCTCGCTGAAAACTTCGGGCCGTTTAAAAAGGGCCTCAACTCCTGATTTTGAGTTATCAAAAATTTGACCCTGACATATTGAGAGAAAAGTTTCGGTCACAGGTCCCAAACTTCAAAGGAAATGAATTTCTGTAAAATAATGTATGATATTCTTCACTTGTCAGTTGGGAATGCTCATTTCAGTCAAATATATGATTTTAAATATTTTTCCTCTGTCATATTTGAAATAATACTGTTACAACTATTTTATGTTGGAAAATACCAAAATAATATTTTTTAGAACCAGCGCCTCAACCTGGTGCCAGATTGGGACCTTTCGAATTGAAGCCAAATTGTGATGAAAAGATCATCAAGTTTATAACTGGAAGTCAAAAGCATGATTCAAAATTGAAGAATGCTTTCAAATATCTGGCAACTGTCGAATTCAGACCACAACAGCAAGATCAGGAAATGGTGTTTGTGTTTACATCAAATCAGGTAACTATTATCTTGATGTGAGTCTCAAGTCACTGCCTCAAATATTCTAGCCTATTAAATAAAAAACTGATCATTTTGACCAACCCATTAACTGGAACGCTGAAATAAATTGTGAAAATGGTGTGATAACTTTGATAAGTACTGCGCTGTATGTCTACCAGTTAATAGCAGCTGTGTTTTCTGTCTGGTGTGTTTTTCCCTGACTCAGCAAAGCTGAAGGGTCATGAATCAATCACTTTATTTCGTGGTAGCTTTTCTTTTTGAATTACCGGTGTTCGCACTGGCCATGTTTTTAAAAGGAATATTACAAATAACAGCTGGCAGTACAAAGTCAATTGAATAATCTTGATTGGCAGACAGTTTGGCAATACATTATAGAATATATCAACCCATATATGAAACTTACGCAAATTGTGTTTGAAAAAACTTGTGGAAAATAAGCCCATCCCAAAAAGAACAAAATAAGCATACCTGCCCAATAAGACGGACCAATAATTAACGAAAAATTTGGGTCCGGACAATCGACTTGATAGCCGCGAAATACAGTAAATGGGGCTTTTCTACTGTTCAGATTGAGAAATCTGATTGTTTTTTCTTTCCATGTGCATTTTTTGTGATTTCACATCTGCCTATATTTGAATTATATTATATTTCATGTTTTTTAAAATTTTTATTATTTTTGAAATCTTCATTCAAAACTATTCTACTATTCTCATGTACAATTTTTATTATATTTTGCTTTATCCAGAAACAGAGAAAAGAGGCACAAAACGATTTTAATGCAAAGTGTCAAAAAAATTTTGAGGATTTTCTGGTGGATTATACATCTTCATCTAATACATTCGAAAGATCGAAACTTCAAAAAGCTCGTTCTTATAAATTATTTCCTCAAATTGATGAGAAATATACTGGAAACGTTGACAATGATGATTTAATTGTTTGGTGAGAACTTATTATCTTTAAGTATATGGACAACAAGGCAAAATAAATAATACATATCAACTGCACATGGAGCAAAATCTGGGAATAAAATGAAACCGACCTATTTCATATTTGAGTACTGATCGGTCCATTAGTAATAGAATTTTTCTACAACTCCAACATCAAATTAGCTCATCTATCAACTGTGTGCCTTTTTTACAGTTGGAAGCAGAACGAACCAATTGTTGAAATAACTGGAATAAAGTCATCAGTTGATCTTATGATTGAACACATAAAAAATTGTGTGAATTCAAGTATGACTGAAATGTCAGTCAATAACGATCAATTTGGGTGAGTTAGATTTTTCATCTACCACAAAAAGTCCTGAACTATAGTTTTATTTATGCAAATGCTTTAACTCGGAGATATCTGCTTACGTAATGAAAACAACACTTTATTAATGTAACGAACTCTTCTACAATGTTTTTTCTTCAACTAAATAATAAAATATATTTATCTTGGGTGATTATTAGAAAGTCCGTTAGACGGCTAACCATATGGCTAACCAACTCATGTAGTCTGTTACCAGTCAATATGAGATAGGTTGAACAGTTAGCCAGTTACGTATGTGCTAGTCATAGATCCCTTTTAGAACTTTATAGTCACACAATCACACCAAAGATGTCATTGTCTTTTGGACACCATGCATTTGGTTTAACTATCTGCCTATCCTGAATTTTCAAAACGGTTGAAGTTGATTTTTATTTCGCAAACTTTTTTTTTTCTTAAAACATCACTCACAATCATCAATTTTGTTTTGCTAACGATGTTTAACCAAGACATTTCAGGCCCTGGATAGAGTCAAATTAATTTTAGATCCTGTGTCAGGTTTCAATTCAGGAAATTTACTAGCTATGAACTTCCTAAAGACTGAATGTGTTATTTAAGTTGAATTTTATTATTTCAGAGTTATGGTGAACTGTGGAATTGTCGAACAACTGAGAATGAATCACAAAAACGTGCAGATAAAATGTGACATGAAACAACAAAAAATTATATTGACAGGACCCGAGTCTGCACTTTCCGCTTTTCAGATTGATGCTTTGACTAGGTTAAATGTATGTAACTAATCTTGTACTATTCATAGTTTTCTTCTATAAGCCTCCAATAAAAATAAGGCTTTGTGAAATGAATAAAGTTAAATTGATTATGACAATGGTGAGACATTCAAATACTTGGCATCAGGGACTTTTATTCTATATTTTGCCCCTTGACAAATTTTAGAAGTAAAATTTCCTCTCCTCACACTACTCTTTCAGTATGCTGTGAGTGAAATATGATGAATACAACGGCCACATTAAGTCATGTAATCCGTTCTTGCAAAATTTATTGGCAACCCCAAAACAGTTTGGATTTACCCCTGGTTTAGAACCTCTGGTATAGAATACATTGGCACGTTAAATGGATATATTATTTGTAACATAAATATTTAAATGTTGTTGATTATTAAACATTTATTACATGCAAATAATCTAATTTTGTGAATTTTCAAATGTTATTATTCTTTTTCAGACCATTGAAAAGAAGCGATTGAATGGTTTGGATGAAAGTGTTGTGAGATATTTATCTGAGTCAATGTCAGGATCTGAAGTAATAACTAAACAAATTCAAAATCAGTTGAGAAATAATAATATAAAAGGTGGGTAAATACTGACTAACTAGAAGCCTATTGGGATTCAATACTGTTTTTCTGTTTTATATCAAAGCTACATGTTTCTTTGACAGTTGGTATTAATCAAATTGTATCATTGTGTTCATCTTGTGTTTGTAGCTTTGACCAGGTGTGTGGAGATGGGTAATATTTATGATTGATTCTGACTCGAAAAGTCGTGGTTAGCCATATGATTATCAACTTTGAACGTTCTTCCGCACCCTGCAATTTGATTTTCAAATTTCAAATAGTAGCCCCGTACATATTGCGAGGTTTCTGTGGCAGTATGCATGTAAGAGCCTCGTTTGAAGCAAAAGGCGTCGCAAGTAGGTGTCGCATAAAAAAATCACTTTGTAGAAACAAAACTTTCCTTTTAGTGTTCACTGAGGTTCCTTCCTATAATTATAACCCTCTACAATTTTCTCTTTTTCTAGCTATGATTAGCTTAGATGGTGAAGAACCTTGTCTCAGAGTTGGAACAATCAATGACTTCAAACAAGGAATCAATCTGATCAAGGAATATATTGTTATTGAAACGGTACGAACTGATGAACCAAGAGCTAACGTTGTAAAATCTCCTGCTTGGAAAGGATTTCATCAAAATTTACGAAGCACTACAGCATGTGGAATTTATATCAAGGTTGCAGACCTTTCTTATTACCTAGAAATTACCCAGAGAATGAAATAATTTGAATTACTGCCATAAATTAATTGTCTGTATTCAATCTTGATTGTCCCTCTACGGCTCATATGTAGGTGCAGCGTGCATATCTGTGCATTAGGATTGCTTGACCTCGTCCTTGCAGATTGTTTCACAACTGGCTTAATTTATTTCCAATACTCAGAATATTTTGAAGTAAACTCCTAGGATGTCTGTTAATTTCACCACAGTAATTTTATTATGGTACTTTTAATGGGGTATGTTTATTGCAATAAAAATACATCACAGTAATTCAAATTTTATGGCAGGATTAGAGTAAGCAAGCAGACTTTATAAATAGCTAGACATATGGATTACCATCAATATGTAGCACAATTCATGATTGTGAATTTAGAGTAAAATAATTTGATTTTATCACATTTGGTATTTAATCAATCGATCTATGGTTTATTAGTTCCGCTAAAACTAAAAGATATAAGGATAAAATCACTGATGACCTAACAACCATATGATGAAACTAGCAACGTTGTAATCTCATTGCGATGAACCAATTCTTATTTTTGCGTACATATGATCCCGGAATCCCTAATTTTTATCATTAGCTCGATGAAGACTGTTATAACAAATCCATGATAATTTCATCAATGCGAAACAGATACATGAAAACTATATGTCGTCGGAATAGATTTTTAATTCCTTGGAATTTTATTGAATCACATTATGCTATATCAATGTTAAATTTGTATATTAACTTATATTTAAAATATTTTTTTAGTGAATTCGTAATAAAAGTTACTTTTTGGTGTCGTTTACTTAAAACATCTAAGTTTAACATAATTGTCTCAAGAAATATTGTTATTACTATTGAATTACATTAAATTTGTATATTTTTTAAAGCTTTGTGGTCATTTTTTAGTCAAATGAAGCAATCCTGATGGTTGGAACGAGATCTGAAGTCAAAATGCTGAGAGTTGAAATAAATAAATTTCTTGACAAAAATGCAATCAAACGACTATTTATGCAATTGCCATATGGTAGTGCTCGTTTTATCATGGAAAGATCTCCTCTGTTTACTCCTGAAGCTTGTGAAAAGAGAGAAATAAAGTGTGGATTGTCTCCTGAAGGAGGTGGTGGCGTTTTTGCAAATGGAAAAATGAGAGCATTGGATGATGGTGAGACTGAGTTTTTGATATCATATTACATAAAAAATATAGTGACTATATTGATTTCATCACTATACATTAGTAAAACTCATATGTTGTAGAACATGACAAGAAAGTGATATGCTCAGCGAAACTTGGGAGAGATTTCAAGAATTTTTTAGTTTGGGGGAGGCCAAGGGCAATAACATCAACACGAATATTTAATTTAGTGACAGCAGTTGGTCAATAAATTGTTGTTGTAGCAAATTGTCAGTCAATTTGTTTGGCGTCTGATTATTCGGGGTTTGCGTCGATTGTTTATTGACTCAGGGGGGCTAAAAAGGGTTAAAAACCCCTGATGTAGAATCAAATTTAACTCGTCTGTTGCCAATAACTTTCAAAGACATCTTATCGTCAAGCATCCTTGTGACACTGGTAACATAGAGATAAGTTGATAAGCACGGCGGTGTGACGCAACATTCTAAGCGTTAGGAATACGGTCGGCCCACTGCACCTCTGATTACCCTGCGTGGGTTCACATCCCATGTGTAGCTCGCAATAGTAACTCATTAACTATTGTCAAATATCGGGGCCTTGTTCAGAGCAAAAGTTATAAATGACTGTCCTATAAAAAATTCAAGATATAAATTGCTATTACACTTCTTTTATATGGAAACGTTTTTTTAATCGATTCCTGATTAAAAATTCACTTTCATTCCATTTTAGTTCATGCTGATTTTAAAACTTTACGCACCACGATTCTTGAAATGACGCATATTTTGAACGAACCCGGAATTAAAGACTATTATCAGGGAGAAGAAGGTAGAAAATTTCTTGAACAAACAGGACGAGTCAATAATTGTATTATTCTCACCATGTCAAGAGAATGTGCAGAATGGATCGAATATAATAAGAAGAATTTGTTTTTGAGACCAAATGCTTCAAATTCATCACCTGTAGTGAGTTGTACTTTTAAGTCAAATAGTGTTTTCGCTTCCTCTAAACTTTCATTTTCCATGGCCTCATCAACACTTTCAGCGACCTGCTCTTTGAAAATACCTAGGTTGTTTTTGACAGAATTATTGATTATTTTGTTGGACCCTAGTTTAATAATAAGCAGCCAAGAAACAAAAACAAAAATATTTTGAGCGTTATAGTCAAAGAAGTAAAACAAATCCTGATTAATTTACTTCAAAATGATTGCATATTCACTGCTATCAGTGCCAGTGAACCCTCGCGCATGGCCGTATAGGGGTTCAGTTTGGAAAACTCTGAACTACTGTAATACATACAAATGTCATGCCCAATTGATTCTTTTGTGGATTCTCAGAAGCCATGGACCACAGTTGGCAAGCACCGGTTCATGGATTTCAGAATATTTATTTCCATATTTGTTCCGAGGCATGAGAGCAATTAATCATATAATCGGCAAGGTATAATTCAATGTCCAGTTGAATGTCAAAACTATTTTTTACAGGATTTTGAAGAACAAAAACTTATCTCAGTAACTTTGGCAAAATCTTTAAATGTCAAACTGAGAGTATGGAAGACAAATATTATCAAACATAAGTGTGATGTTATAGTTAATGCTTCAAATCCTGAACTCGCACTCCTTCCTGGAGGTGTTTCTGGAGTCATCAAGAAACTCGGTTAGTATTCAGTTTTATTTCATAAATTAATTTTTTGTTGAGGTTTTCTCCTTTTAGTCTTGTTGGAAAAAAATCACTTTAACGTTTTTTTTACTTGGAATGATTAAAGCAACTAGAAGGCTAATACCCTTTTTTTCCAATTTGTATCGGAGCTGATATTTCATTTCAAAATTTTGCCTCTTCATTTTAATTGTTAGAAACACTTTTTGTGGCATACATTGATCAATTTTTTCCTCAACTCTCGTTTTACAGTTTCAGTTTTGATGCGTTGAACATTGCTCTCTCCTATTTATAACTCATAATATAATTGCACTCCCATGAATGAGTATACATCGAAAGTTGAATTGGTATTAATTAATTAATGTCACCGAATTTACTATTTTCTTCTATGTCTTCTTCAAGATAAAGATAATGGGAATTCAATTCAGAAAGAAATGAACAAACTCATTGAAAGGAATCATGGAAATTTCTTGGCAGGAAATGCAGAAATTACATCCGCTGGTAATCTACCTGCTTGCAAGAAGATCGTTCATGCTATTGGTCCAAGGTTAACTTAATCATATTTTATACTCAAATATAATTAGTTTGAGGTATGGATGTAAGTTTTAAAATTTCGAAGCGATTTGAATTAACACCGTTTTGAAACAATTTCGTGAAATACAGCTTGATATCAGATGGTAATTTTATAACAATTCATCTTTTGGCATATACTGGTACTTATTGCCATAAAAATATATTGTTCCTTTATTCCATATAATGAGATACTCCATTTATTTAGATTGTTCACATATTTGCAATAAGCAGATGAATGGTCATATCTATATCTTATATAGCAGTGCAAAAGCAAAAATGCGTTCACAGATTCAATTAGAATATTTTGCTTTTCTAGATGGAATTCTATTTCCGATAGAGCAGATCCCAAACTTCTTTTGAAAGCCTGTGTGTTACGAAGTCTGAAATGTGTTGGAACTGCTGGATTAAAATCAGTAGCAATACCTGCTATAAGTTGTGGCGTCTTTGGTGGAGAAATTAGTGTCTGCATACCACTTATTTTGGATGCTGTTGTTGATTATTTCAATGAAACTCCAAATTCAAGTGTTAAACAGGTACATGTTCAAAAGATCAGTATGCTAAAATTTGGGGGAAAGAAAGGTAATAAGTATATCTCAGCTTCTTGTCAGGTGATGCACAATGCTGTAACTGACCGGCAGTTACATGGTATCAAGTCTTTTTACACATAATTTATTTGAAATCAAACCTGCAAATCCAGAGGTTGGCACAATTTTAATGCTTAACATGAGTACCTAATCTTTGAGCCCAAAATGAGTTTTAGGCTTCTGACATCTTCTTTAATTTCATTTTATTCAGGGATGGCGCTTTTGATATATGGTAGTTGTTCCAATTCAAATAAATTTTAATTTTTTTAAGGATGATGCACCAACACTCAATCAAAGTCATTTTTTTCACTTGTGACGATTTCAATCACATTTAATCCAGGAATGACTTTATGTATTTAAATAAAAGTTTTAATTTTTTTATTTTTACAAATTACAGATAGATTTTGTTGAACTCAGCAATCAAGCAGTACTTGACGCCTTTGTAGAATCTGTTAAGAAACACCAAGCTGAGGGAAAGCCTTCAAAATCTTCAAGTGTTTTTTCATCTCAACAGAGTAACCAAGCATCCAACTCTACACTGCAAACTCCTTGCTGCACTATTAGCGTTGTTGTAGGAGATATATCATCACAGCAGGTTAAAATAAGCTATTACAGTACATAAATCATAGGCAGATTTGTGTTTTGGCTCATGTTGTAGACTATCCAAGCACCATTATATCCAGTTGTTTGAGTTAATGGCTTGCACATGGATATAGAGGTAAATAAAAGTTCGATTTTCCATTTTCAAGGTCATGATAACAAAACAAGCAAGGGTTTAAGTGATACTTTTGTGTGTCATGTGATTAAATTGCTTTACTTCTTGTTCCCTGGAATAAAGATGGAACTATTGACGAGCATGGGTTGGCTGCAATTACTTTAATAATTATTACTTTAATTTCAGGTCGATGTTATTGTTAATGTAACAGATACACAACATGTGAATAATATTGCGAACGCTGGAGCTGTGTCAAAATTACTTGGTCAAAAAGCTGGAGCAAGAGTAATAGTATGCAATTCTTGTGTTTTATATAAAATTTTACCTATAAATATTTAGACTACTTTCTGATATGAGTTTTTAAGAGAAGCTTTGAGCAAAGTCACATTCACATGAAAAGGTTCTATGCAGTAATATAAATATTGGTTGTCATGAAGCACAAGAGTCGGTATGGTAGAAGTGAAAGTAAATAGTTCCACTGAAAGTACAGATTGTCACCATTGTATATTCATGTGTAAATAGTAAATCACTCTCCCCTTTCATGCTTTCTAAAAAAACAGTATTAATATGTTTCTATATGTCTATATAAAGAGTCTGAAATGGAAATTTCACAAGCAATAATATATTAATTCTACAAAACTATTCTACAATGTATCTAATTTGTTTTTAATTTCACAATTTTTAACTTATTTTTTTTGTGTTTTCTACTTCCAGCAACAATGTGCGAATCTACAGCAGCCATTTAATGCTGGAGATGTTTTAGAAACTGATGGTGGATCACTACAGTGTAGAAAATTATATCATGCACTTGTGACAAATTATAATCAGAATTCGCAAGGAATTATACAATCAGTTGTATCGGATAGTTTACAAAAAGCTGAGCAGTCTGGATTCCAGTAAGATTTGACATTATGTATTGCATGCTTTATGAATTGTTAATTTGCAAGTACTGGTAAGGTAACTGTACATTGGAACAAACGTTTCATATTTTTTTGTATGTGCGTTGATTTTCCTACCGGGAAAGGTTTTTTCCAGATGTTCTCAAATGGTTGTAATTTTACTCCGTGGAAATAAAATTTTATTGCATTGAAGGTCAATTTTGCTAGCTGAAAATTCCAAAACTTTTCTCTTATTACATGATCAAATGTGGCTGTTGAGTATTTAGCAGATTGCAACATTGTTGGGGTTGCAACTTCCTCTGTTGTATTGGTGGTGGTGGGTAGAATAAAATATTTAGGAGGCCGAAGTAACCTCTATTTAATAGTCTAATTATTGAAATCAAAAAAGCATCATTTGATTAATAAAATTATGTAAACTATAAATATGTATAAAAGCAAAACTAATGATAGCAAACAATGAACATGAATGTTTGGTTTTATTCAAAGAATATACACATATAATGCATAATTATAGAAACTTTCGGATTTGTATTCAAACTTGCGGAACCGTTGGACTATACTGGCGGAACCCTGACTGAAAATCACTCTTTTAGACAAACACTCAATTAGCTACACTTTTAAAGAAATGGAATCTTGGTTGTCCAGCATGCCATGAAGTAGTTTATATGCACTGTATATCAATAACCACATTTCAAATTATTGAAACTATCGTAACATTGTTTTTAGGTCCATTGCATTTCCGGCTATTGCTACGGGAGGATACAGACATCCCCCAAATCTTATTGCCCAATGGATGAGACAGGAAATATCTAATTTCCGAGGGAATAATTTAAAGCAAATTTTCATTGTGCTTTATTCTGGAAATCCAGCTGTTATATCGGTTAGTATGAGTTGAATTCACTAACAAGAGGTTCCCTTATTTCAGAAAATCATGACGATCTTATAGATCTATAACAATACAAGAACGTGTAGTAACATTACTACATGATAAAGAACAATTTAAGCGCCATAGTCACTATTGTATGACACTAAGTGAGCTATATTGAAAGGACACACTTTATAAGAATCCAATACATAACTTTCGAAGCGACAAATGTATCGCTATGGTTGACTAATGTCTAATACAAACGAGAATGGTCTCACTGATTACCACGACATTCCATGAAGAGTTTCGCACGAACCCTCACTAGGAATAACCAAGTATACTGTGATCAATTTTTCATTGTAAGAGTCATCGTTCTTGCTTATCATTTTTTTTTTTCAACATCTTTGTTGCAACTGCTAAATATGCATTCGAAGGAATTGCAGTTTAATACAAAATACGTTACAGTTTAATCATCATTAAGATATTTTCTGAGTCTCTACTAAATATTATGTTTTCTATTTTTTTTTTCTCAAACAATTGTTTTTGTTTTTTAGGCTTTCAATGCTGAGTTCAACACAGGATTAAGTTCCAGTGGAAATCCATCTTTCACTCCTACTGCTTCTGAAGAATCAAAAAATGATGGAATCACTTTCAGGAAAATTGATGATAAAACAACACGATATGGGTATTTGAAAGTATCAGTGATTAAAGGCGACATCACTCAACAAGATACTGATGTAATAGTTAACAGCACAAATCAACAATTTGATCTGTCCCAGGGTGAATATATAATGTTAATATTTTTAAAAACTATCGATTATTACCTAATTTGGTAATATTTAGAACGAATCGAGGCGTAATGCAAAGCGTATGTTGAAAAATTTGTGTTTGAGAGTTGAATGTCTGCATTTATAATTGAGACTATAATTATTGAAATTCTGAAACAAAGTCTTGATTACAACACAGCCCAATATTTATAATTTGATATTTGTACTTTTGCAATTCATATTCCTATAAGAAATAGGACTTGCTATGACTATAAATTTTTATAGTCATCTTGGAAGAGGAAAGGTAATATCCCAGTCAGCTCAATCATGCCAGGCAACACTTGCCTGTCCAATCTCAAACTTGTGTCATTAACATAGTACCGTATATAGGATTTTCATCATTAGGGCAGCTGATAAAATGGCTGGACAGTATGGCAAAAACTAACTTATGTTGTTACCAGTTCTGGTGATGCGTAAGAATAGTTAAATAGCTCATCTTGCCAGTTGCATAGACTAGGACTAATTTATAATTGTAGACAGAAGATCAAATTGAAACGTTTTGGGATGCAGCGGCACCCTGAGCTGTTATGTTTTTATTAAAATATTAAAGCACTAACAATACATTTGAGTTGATTTAAAAGTATTCCTGTCCGCTAGAAGTCATTAATCCCATCAAACATTGAGCAAGTCTGACAAATGAAAATTTACCAGGTATGGTGTCAACCCAAATTATGCGCAAAGGTGGTAACTTAATTCAAAATGAGGCGTGGGGTCAATCTGGAGGGGATTATGTTGTAACTTCCGGAGGAAAGCTTCCCTGTAAGAAGATTATCCACTTGGTGACGCCAAACAACCCGAAAGATCTTCAGAAAAAAATATTGGAAGCTTTAATCGAAGTCAAAAATTTAGGATTGTCGTCAGTTTCCCTTCCTGCCTTTGGAACAGGTTTGGTTTTTATTGCATTGTTAATTTCTTAAGCAGACTTGCTATGTAAACATGAAAAATAAGGGGCCCCAGTGGGTTACCTTGGCATATTCAGAAATCTTGTTTGTTCACCGATCACCCAATTATTAAGTGGGCCAACCAATTTAACATGTCAAATGCATTGACATGGTTGAAAGAAGAACCATAAGTAAATACCCTTGTGAAACATCTTATGGTAGTATAGCGTTTAGCAAATTTCAACTTCACAATGTGCTGAATAAACCGACATTTAAGTGGTCAATACAAAAAAGCCATATATACATTGCTTAGCATTGAAATTTGTTATCTTTAAGGATGAGAAAGTCATCCACTCTCTCATGTAACCGGGAAACTTACTTTCTGGTTAGGTTCATGTGCACTTCTTGTGTGATTATTATATGTACTTTAAAACCTTAGAATTCAAATGTGGCGTTTGTCTGCCGGTTTTGAATTCGGATCTAGGGTTAGCTATTTCTCGATTTTATGGCCTTATCATAATATGCAGTACGAAATATTAGAAATTATAGAGGCATGTATATGGGCTGCAAATTTTGCAAAATGATGTTTAGAAGACGTCTTCTCATCAACATAGTTATTTGTTCAGGAAATCTTCATATGGATTGTTCAACTGTAGGATCGATCATGCGAGCCTCAATCGAGTTGTTTGTGAAATCGTATCCAAATTCCAACTATCCATCGTCCGTGAAAGTTGTAATCTTTGACAAAAAACTGTTGAAAGATTTCAAAGATACAATTTTAAGTGAAACTGCGAAAAAGGGACTTTGGTCAAAACTTCTTGACTTTGGGAAAAGTAAATTATTCCTTAATTTTTTTTAATTGTTTAAGATAATGAAGACAAATTTAACTACATAGTATAGTTAACGGCCTATCAAGTTTAGTCAGTGGCCTAATGCATGCCTAATTATATGGACTTTAGAGCTACAACTATTGCCTCCCACCTCTCCAGCCTCATTTCTTAGTTATATATCACTTGCAAGTAGCAAGGCATTTCTGCATTATCGTTGTTCTTTCAAATATATGACATCATATTATTAACATGTAATCATTGCTGCGAATTAAAACCATTTTTAAATTGAATTGAAGATAGTAATCATGCTCTGCTGTTTGGATTAGTTACAAATTTATTGGAGGATTGTGGGTTTGCAAAAATTAGACTTCATTTGACTGAAAATTCCAATTTGGCAGGTTTGTTCTCTTATGGTGGTAGTGGACCTGCAGAAGAAGTCATTGCATACAAAGATAATTCTCTTCCTTTATTTCTTTACTCAACAAACAGAGAAGATATACAAGAGGTAATGTAATAGATATTGGATGAATTTTTGTATTTCCATTCCGGCGCTCCAGAAGTATGTGCACCATGATGGCTGACATCGGAACGTCGTATGTGTACCAGATTAGGATTAGGCCATAATTTTATTTCTATTTTTCCGAGCTCGGTGACTAGCCAAGTGACTCCTGTAATATTTGTACCTAAAATTATGGCCTAACCCTAACCTGGTACACATCTGACGTTCCGGTGTCCGCCATCTTGGTGCAGTACCTCCATTTCTTGGTGGTTCAAATATTTGATATGATTATGCCACTGATCATGTGTAAAAATAACATTTTTGCTAGAACTGAGAACCCTCCTTTTCAGGGTATTGCGATAATTTGAACTACTATTTTCAGTTGGATGAAATTTTAATATGTAGCCTGGAGCAGTAGAAATCTGATAAATCAAATAAATCATATAACATGATGAACCCAAGGTCTAGTTACCAGTTCATATTGGGATTAGTTAACTACGGTAGCTAGAATTCATGGTCGGCATAGCTTTGACAGACCAACAATGATTATATGATGTACGTTATGATGATGAGAAGTCCAGCGCTCCTCTTCCACATAATTCACTGTCAAGGTATTGAAACCTGCACGCATCTTAACTTCCCACATTTTTTTCAGAATGATATTTTTTCTAAATAAATTTGAAGTATATTGAGAAATGAAGTTGTTTTGTGCCAGTTCATTTTGTCAAAGATCTCTACACATTTTCGAATTTAATCTTATAATGAATATTAATTGTTTTTAACGTTGGCAGGCTATCAAATCTATCGATAATGAGATTCGAAAGATAACTTACAAACAAGTTATTACTGATGATGTTATTGGTAGATTAGGTAAATGGGAATGGTTTGAAATCTCTGCGATCGCAAGAAATGGAAAGATTGAAATCTCGGATGATTCAGACAAGTTTGTTTTGGTTTATACGATTTGTACTGGTACATTGAATCCTGGTATATTCAAATTCTGTCATTTTGTTAAATTGAGGCTAAATGCTAAACCTAAAGTATTACAGAAAGGATGTTATCTACTTTTATATAAGTGGAAATTCTTTGGACCTCTAACAAGATTTCAGTAACAAATATTCAGTTATAGAATAAATGTGCCAAATTGATATGCAGTTTGCCTCCATCCTATTTTATGTAATTTGATCTGTACTAGTATATGCGCCATCTTGAGTGTGTGTATTTGTTTTTGAGGTTTATCACACTGGTCAGTATTGTATTAGGGATAATTATATGTGTGACTCCTTCTCTTCGAAGGAAGATTTACAAAATATAATGGCAGTTCTATTTTCTACTATACAGATGTAAAAGTAGCTGGACTAATAGGCTACTTCCATATTCTGTATGGAACAGTAGTCAGATAAATGATTCATAGAAAAAGGCCTTCCTTTTCCAAATATTACAATTCAGTTCTTTTTTAATATAGTTTTTCTTATTAAGGTATATAAAAAGATTGAGATTGGATGGTCTCACAAAAGATGTAGTCAATGCTCATGAAGCAATAAAGGATATTTTGAAAGAATTTGCAGCTGCGGAAACATGTGCTGCTTTTGTCTTTTGGCAACGAAAAGATCAAGCTGGTGCATGGAAAGATTTTCCGATACGTGCTGGGCATAAACTTGAAATGGCATACAAGGTGCTTTTAGTATTTGTTTGTTTTTTAAAATAGATAGAAAGAATATTTGCTCAAAGTGAACCAAAAAACTCATTTTGAAGTGAACCAAACTCACAAACTGCCCTTGAGTTTTGGAAAAATTGTGTCGAAAATGACAAATATTCAACAAGTCACCATAAGATATGGATATGATATGTTGACCCTCAAAACAATTCAAGTCAACGTAGTTTGGAAAATTTTGAGAAAAGGTTGAGGAGGCCCTTGACAGTTAATATTACTCAATTGGATATATCAGTGCTCTCAACTCATTTATGATAAATTTTGCTTACTATTACAACAGAAGCGCAATGGAGACAGCACTAATCCAACTTTGAACAAAGTCCAAGTATCTGAATTTGATGGAGCCAAAGTGATCCAAAACACTATCGACCTCTCTAAACTTGATAATGACCCACATGGTAGCAATCCTCCAGATATTCGACGCAGAATAAAAGAAAAAAGTGTCAGTGGTAAATATTTTTTTATTTGCAGAGGTTTTGTTTTCATTGAATGTGATAGAATATGTCAATGTATCTTTCTAATTCAACTGAAAAAAAATTTTGTGGTAATGTTAGATATTAATTTAGTTTATACTAGTTTAGCACAATCAAACTCTGCATAAATGCATTCCTTAACCATTTATTTAATGCACCACTGTTCAGATATTCCTACACTTTGGGATGACATGTCTGGAAAACAAAGTTTGGAAGTAGTTTTAACACCAGGCTCTCAAGAATATCAAAATGTATTGGCAAAGTTCATAAGCGCTGGGCAATTTCATCAAACTATTGTTTCTGTGAGTTGAATTTTATATATAGTTATGTAGAAACAGTCATGTGTTATGTTTTACGGAATTTTAGTTTAATGCTAATGAGGTACTCTTTACTGATTTTTTCTGGTAAACATAGAGTTGATAAAATGATTCACTTGTGTTGAAAACTATATTCTTTTGTATGTATAAGTATAAGTTTATTTTCACAATCACAATAACAGATGATAAAATAATCAATGAAAACAAAAATAAATCTAACTGTTTACAAAATCGGGAGAGCAAAGAAACATTATTGTAAGATTTGAAACAAATTTAAAAAAAGGTGTTTCATAGAAAGTGGTCTGTGTTTGCTATCCGAGACATTTGAATTAATTGAAACCTGCACACACATACACAATTACATGCTATCACGGAGACATAATAAATTAAGATATGAAAAAGGGGAAACAGGATATATTACTTTGTAAAAAGGGATGTAAAATAGAAAAAATTTACATTTATCCAGGCTGGGTAAAAGAACAGTTACTCAATTCAAGATTCGAAATTCTTTGGTTTGAGGGGTAGAATTAGCATGAACTGAGCTGTGCTGACACCAAGATTGTTTTCTACTTAAATAACTGCCGGTATCTTGCATGTCCATGCATCTCAAAATCTTGGGATAAATATGTAAATCTCATCCTATACGGTGTAACAAATTATGGTTCCAATGTTCACAATACAACCACATTGATGGCTAGGTCACTTCCAAAATTCCCCATCTATTCTGCAGAACAACACATTCTCCACAGCAGGGGTCGGCAAACTGCAGGCCATGGGCCTAATGCGGCCCGCGAACTAATTTGTTGCGGCCCTCGATGACCTGACTACGTACTCGCATACTCTACGTACTTGTCTGATCGTCATTTGGACGACATACCTTGGACAACTTGCAATAAAAACCTCACCCTTCACATTGATAATAAGTAAATAAAAATGATGTATTGTTTGATAAGATATTATAAAAGGCCTCATACACGCCTCATTGTTGCAGGCTTTTAACACAGCAAGAAAAGGTGCGAATGCGTCATAATTTGAAGTTTAACGTAGCGATTGTTTATAGGTGGGAATATTGCGGCCCACGCGCTACCGTAAAAGTGTGAGTTTGCAGACCACTGTACTATAGGAATTTCAGTGCAAACAGGAATTCCCTGGTTATATGCTGGTCTTATGGCTCATACACAGTAAATTCCAGTAATAATCTCTAATAATAAATATTAGTTGGCTAATTTACAAAATTCATAGTATGGTATTTACCATTAATATCAGTGATTTTGGAACTCTCCTCCCCAGTTTGTCGAATTAGATGTTAGAATCTTGGGTGTCTCTGCTCGATAACCAGTTTTGGTTCCCTGCGACTTCCCTTCACCAGCAATGTAATATCATTTTTTCCTTATTTTTTGCATGATTTTCGTCTTTTCACTAGTTGGAAAAATTAACTTGACTTGTTCTAATTCATTCAAGATTGAAAGAATACAGAATCTGTCCCTGTACAAACAATATGTTGCAAAGAAGGCAGAAGTTACGGAAAAACATGGAACAAATCTTGCAAAACCAATTGAACAACAATTGTTTCATGGCACTTCAACTGATGAGCAAATTATGCTTCATGGTTTTGATAGAAGTTATGCCGGAAGAAATGGTAAAATTATTTAGCTTTTCTAACATGTAGTTTTATTCTTACCTTTTGCAACGGGTAGTTACGGTAATATTAGAGCTTATGTAGATTTTGAATAATATGCATGTGACAGTATAGTTACTGTATTATTACTGGATTGAGAAGTATGTAACGATTTAATACTTTGTAATTTGGAGATGCTTTATTATTATACAGAAATACTCCATCCATAATGATGCCCGTTAAGAGTGAGGGCATAATGCATGCAAATATGTTTTTAATATACAGGATATGTAATACTGTAACTGACTTCAAGTACACTCATGTATTTGATTTTCACAGCAACAAAGTATGGGCGAGGTGTTTATTTTGCAACGACTGCTAATTTTTCCCATGGTTATGCAGCACCAAATACATCTGGACATCGAAGAATGTTTATCGCAGATGTTATAACTGGAGATTTTTGCCAGGGAAATCAGAATATTCTCGCACCTCCACAGAGACAAAGCAACATAAAGAATGATCTGTATGATAGTGTTGTTGATAATGTGATGAATCCTAGCATATTTGTGATTTTTAAGGATGCCAGTGCTTACCCTACTTATCGCATTACCTATGCATGAACAGCTTTTTTTTTACCTTGGACTGTCTGCCTATATAGCATATACTTATATAATGTTATGAAAGCAAAAATTGTGCTAATTGAATTTCTTTTTAAAAAACAATCGTAGGACTTTTTAACTTTAACAACAGAAAGGAATTCCAACAAGAATCACACTATCATTTTAAACTGTATGTAGAGGTTTTGTTTGTACTGTTTAAAATTGGTCATTCCAGCAAATTACTCTTGATGAATCACCCTGTAAATCTTCATTTTTAAATAATTTTATGCTTGCAACTATTATTATTTGTAATGCCTTTATATCAAATAATGTCAGTAAAGTGATTTTAATTACTTTTATCTTAATCGACATTCTCTTTTGATTGCCTGTAATTCTATCCGCTATTCGTATGTTGTTCGCTGTTCTATTGTTGTAATTTTATAAAAATATATTTCAAATCACTTGAATGTTAGTATTTCTGGTGCATTACCAAGCTCATTCCGATATAGATTCTAATTATAATATTCTATGTATGAATTACCATTATACTCCTTTACTTCCAATAACTGTCTAATATTTAATTTAGACAAAACAACTACTGTATAAGCAACTGTAATCTATGGCCACAAAGTACCAAACTGAAAACTTCAAAACATGCCAAATTAATGCCAATTTATGACCCAATTCTGATGATGGCTTATATTTGAAAAAGAAAAGCGATTTTGTCCCAACAGAACTAACATCACTCTTATAATTCATTGAACCTTCAAACCATTGTATCTCCACTGCTGAGCAAGTTTTGTTCCTTTTTTGCTATTTTAGGTTTGTTTTCTTTTTTACAAATTATCTGTTATCCACTGATTTTAAATGATCAAACGAAAGTCTTCAATTACTGTATTACCGTTTGAAATTTGCTCATCGTATGTGCTTCAATTATAATCGTTCCTAATTGCAATTGCTCTTTATTCATCAATGCATTCAATATATACACATAGCAGTAGAATCAAATTTTGTTTGATCCGATGTAATAAATTGGGTAGATAATGCCAAACACAGTCTTTCCAGCGAGGGCAACACTGAATGACAGAAGGAGTTGGCGATTTACAAACTTTCCAGACTCTTGAGGTCGCACAAGACGGTTTTGGTTTTCTAATTGAAAGGCGACGCAATTAAGTAAGCCACATCACTATGGAGTTAGATGAGTCCCACTCAATTGAATCAGGAGCTACCTGCAAGACAGAAATCAAGTTGTGCATTATGACAATTCATTCTCCACAAATATTTGTGTCATGAAACCCGGAGTTCCTCAAGGATCATTATTTGGCCCATTATTCTTTCTAGCTTACATCAATGACATGTCTGTGCGTCTGAAATCTTCTGAGTCAATCGTGTTTGCTGATGACACTGATTTGATTCTTTCTGGGAAAAACTTGGAAGATCTATTCACACTTGCGAACCAAGAACTAACCAACATTCATAGCTGGATGTTGGTTAATAAACTATCTCTGAATGCTAACAATACTCAATTCGTATTATTCCATCCAAGCAAGCATAAAAGTGTGAGTTGCACAAAACCTCTGCTGCTCAATGGCAATGTAATTCAAAGAGTCAAAAAAATGAAACACCTAGGTTTAATCTGTGATAAAAATCTATCCGCAAAATCACAAATAGCACATCTTATTGGTAAAACAAAGTAAATTTAGCAGTTTCTGCCAATGTATCCCAATGTGCTGTTAATCAATCACCTTTACTAGAAATGTTTCAATCATCACTACTCAGCCATATTCGATATTGTTGTTCAGTCTGGCTTTATGGTAATAAAACACTTGACTCAAAATTGCAGAATATTTATAATACTTTTTTACGAATTGTTTTTGGTAAAAGACGACGTGAAAATGTAGACCATTACTTCAAATCGCAATATACTCAAGGTTGAAGATATGATGAAATTTTAAGTTTTATCATTAGCTTACGACTTCCATAATAATGCGCTACCTTATTGCTTTGGCGACATACTTGTTAAAAATACCTCCAACCGATAAAGTAGTTCTGATTTGTTCATACCTTTCATGGGTAAATCTGTGAGTCAGCATTCCTTGTCTTTTACTGAACCCAAATTTTTGGAATTCTCTTCCTCTAAATTTGAAGACGGTAAAGTCCAAAAAATCTTTCTAAAAACAAGTCAAGTCTCATTTAGTTTCCAAATATTAAAAATTACCATTTGGACACCATACTAGTGAAACCAACTTCTGGTGGTGTTCGATGACAAAGATTCAAATTCAGATTCAGAAGAATCAACACAAAAATTTGAAGTACGAAAAATTGTCAATCGTGTGTAATGACAATCGTAAAAAATATAATCATACACATGAGAATTCATACAAGTGGAATAAATCGGGTCAGCGACACTTGTTGGCTTAAGTTTTAAAGGGAATGACGAGAAAATTACACAAATTTAATCACACTCGAAAAATTAACAAAAACTTGGAAAACTCCACACTTGCACATTATTGTTTTCATGAGAATGTTGGACAGCTATAAATATATTGTTATATGTTACCGTAACTTGGTCAGACCAAGTCTGGTACAAAAGAATGGTATTGTGACATGCATGGCTATTTTTTCTATAACAAGGTAGCTCATATACCTGGATGGTATTTTCTTTGAACAGCTGTTCACATTCTAGCCTAAATGCGCATGTTTCTTACATTTTGCTTGATGTGAGGTCCTTCTTATCATACATACATGGTTTTATGTTTGAGTGGGGGTATAACGGTTGTACCTAATATAATATAGTTCCAACAAGGTTACTAATTATTTCAACTGGGCGAGCAGTAGAGCTATGTTGAATTATTCCCTTCATCTTTTAATTTGCTGTGGGTTATTTTAATTTGATGTTTTTTTTTTTATCATTTATGTCAAGGGTGCCCAACCCGTGGCCCGCGGGCCGCATGCGGCCCGCCCAATAAATTCTGTAAGCAGACTTGTCAATTTTTTACTATGTTATAAATAGGCTTAAGTATGTTTTGTGGTTTTGATGTGATTATTCCCGCCATCTATCTTCATCCGGATGCCGATTCTTATTATTACGTTTTATGTATCAAGTCTTACGCCCTGGTGGACATCAACGTTCGTTTTTTTTTCGCAAAACTTTGCGTTCTGTTCGACGATCTCGAAAGATGTTGTGCGATCATTGTCGACAAACGCGCAATTATAGGAATGAATTTTGAACCTAAATTTGCACATTAGTTTCATTCTGATTGCTTTTTCCGTGTAGGCTTTGATCGTCTTTATCGCCAACGTAAAATAAATAGTCAACAATAATCTTTGCTGCTGGCTCCGGGACTCGTTTTTCTTTTGTGTTTGTAGTTTTTCTATGTTATGTTTGCGTTAAATAAAATTCCGGGAATATCGTCACTGCGTATCCGTCAAAAATTCTGATAAAATTGACAATTCTACATATTCAAATTAGTATATACGGTATATTCGTCCAAAAGTTATTGTAATGTTTTTTTCATTAAATACTTGTAATGATGTTTCAAATTTCACGAAACGACCCACCAAAACTTGATGTTCCCGCGACATTGGCGCACATTACGCTCATTGAGACAATATCATAGCCACTGAAAATAAATAAATAATTAAACACCATGACTCAAATATAAGACTCAATTTTTACGTCTTTGTTTGTTAGTAACTCTGTGCAGATTCTCGTGTGGTCGTCATAAATTCACGAGTGCGTTGTGTAATGATTGATTTTTTTGATTCAGCTACCCGGGAATGTCATGTCCACGCCTTGTGTTACCAGATATTCGAATATTAAACTGGTATTTTAATATTCGACTTTATATTCGAATATTTCGCCAGCACTAATGAGTAACCATGCAGTAAATAATTATTAACGTGATTGATTTTATGTTAATAATCTTGCCTTCTATGTATTATAAAAAATTCTAACGAAATCAGTACTTGGTTGGTATTAAAGTTTGGTACAAACGTTTGCGGCCCGCAACGAATTTTCTTATGTGAAAGTGGCCCGCAAGAGGAAAAAGGTTGGGCAGGCCTGATTTATGTATCCATGCATTTCGGACCTCTAAAAATATGTGCACCAAGATGGCGCACAACCTGAACATAGTATGTGTACCAATTTAGGGTTCAGATTGTGCGCTATCTTTGTGCACATACTTCGGGAGCGCCTGCATTTTGTGTTTAGGTATGGTATTGGTGTGGAGTTGACTTGATGGCCAAGGTATAGATAGTGATTAAATTTTGGGTGTTTTTGCATGGTGTGAGAAATTCTTTTCTATCCCAAGTAGAATGTGGAGTCAAGTCAAGTTTATTTTATTCAACCAGCAAAAAGCAAACACATACAATATTGGAAAAAAATAGTAATCATATATACAATTTTATTTTACAAGGGAAGTCGCGGGAAACCAAATCTAGTTATCGAGCAGCGACACCCACGGTTCTAATATCTAGAAAAGATCGTGTAATTACATGACGCTCCCGAAGTATGTGCACCAAGATGGCGCACAAGTGATAACCCTAACCTGGTACAAACACTATGTTCAGGTTGTGTACCATCTTGGTGCACATAATTAGGGAGCACCAATTAAATATTAATATAATAATAAGAAAATAAGAAATACTGTTTATTGGCGGTGAGTACCGCATGGTTTTACCGAATTATATAACTAAAATATATTATTAGAAATAGATAAATTATGAGATGCGATGTCATCATAGATTGTCGCTATATAATAACAATTTAAAGCCTTTAATTAAAAAATTATTTTTTCCTGTAATAAATAGTTCAGCGCGTTTCCTTTCACTCAATCATTGAAACATGTACGCAGATTTATTTTTCGTTTTTAGGTTACTTCAAAAACGATTAAATTAAAAAAAGAAAACACATACCGGTTAGTAAATAATCAAATAAAGACTCTGCTAAAGTGATCCCGTGAAATAACAATCTCATTCCTATATCCTTGTCTGAAGTCAATATCTGATAACGAAAAAAAATTAATTACACCCTTTGTAACCAATTTATTTTCATACCCCATTGTCCTACCTTACTTAACTATAGTGACTTATACTGTTACCAATAACTTCAAGTACTCATTACAATCTTGACCATAATTTGGCAATATTTGACTCTAATTTGGGGAATGAAGTGATCTACCCCGCCTCTTTATGCACCCAATTCTGGCAATCTCGGTTGTGCAATTTGGCATTTGACTCCGTCTATAATCAGCTTGGCAATATGTTTCCATTGAACTTTATTTTTACTGTTCACTCCAGACTAGAAAAACGATCAATTTGGCAGTGGCAAATATTACTAAATCATTGATGTGGTGTGGCAAATAATTTTTTCCGTTTTTTTTATTATTTTTGTTCACTATGCAATTCACCATAAACCTATCGCGTTGTTTTAGTTAATATTTCTATGGCTGTGTGTGTGATGCCAAACACACCGGCTTTTTTGGCTGATAGAATTTTAAACACGTTTCAATTCTTCTTGGCAAAACCTTCCGTCTTATATTCTAAACCTCATCTAATGTTTTGTTTGCTCTCCTGATTTCATAATCAGTTTTTATTTATTTGTTTTATCAATCATTTTATTGTTATGTTGATTATGGAGTCGAAATATACTTATATAATGTTTTATTTATTAGCTATTGGGTCAAGCTTTTATAAAAGTGAAACTAATTCGGTATCCAATTTGGTACGATACGGCAGTCCTTGCAAAATTATGTGTGGCGAAATTTTTTAGTTTTCGAGTTTTTATTATTTTCATGCTGATTATGTAGTTTTATATACCTTGCGGTCCAAAACATCGCCGGCTGGAAAATCTTTAAACTCCAATTATGCCCTACCGGTATCGTAATCTACCACGTACCTACCCAATCTAATGCAACTGATTTAACAAAATATGATTCTTCTGCTATATGTATATATTGAATGCAATATTTTGTACAGATGTTAGGAAGAATGATACAGCATTAATTGAAGAGCATATAGGAAGAAAATTCCACCAGGTGGTACAGTAGCATAATTTAGGAACTTTGTTCGAATATTGAAGAAAATCAGTGGACAGACAGATAATTCGTAAAAACGGATAATAATCTGAACTTGCAGATAGCAAAAAAGCACATTCAACTCGGCAGCAAAAATACGAACATTACAAAAGTTCATGAAATTAGAGTAATGTTAGGTTATAATCAAAAGCAGTTCAATGAAAACAAAGTTGACTTATGGATTGTTTCACTAAGCTTAGTTCCGTTGCAAAAATAACACTCTTATTCTTCAACTGCAAACCCAGTCGAGAGGATAAATAGGTACAAAAGTTACAAAAATACAAAAGGCTATCACTCCATTGTTTTAAATTTTTTCATTTAGGTCTTTTTTTGTCACCATTTATTTGTCCATAGCTATCTTGTCTAAATATACCAAATACTAGGACATTAATAAAAGTGAAAAAATATAACGGTAATTTACACGTACTATATTCAAACCTTTCTGGTAAATATGGTTGACAATGTGTTAACCATTTTTTTTTTCCAGATATTACAATTATCCTTATTTGAAAAAAAATTGGCAGTGCATCAGAAATATAAAAATTCAGGTAATTTGAAAGATTTTATAAAATTATAACAAAACGAAAACGTTGAATAGATAATATAGATTCTGCTGGGCAGTGCATACAGCAAATACAATTATAGGCGATTAAAAGTTAATTCTATAAGGCAGTGCATACAACAAATACAATTATAGGCAATTAAAAGTCAATTCTGATGGGCATTGCGTACAACAAATACTAGCATATTAGATATAGTGCTATATAATATATACCAATAATAAGCTTATCAACCACGTACATTTATATGTGTCAGTGATTTCTTGCCCTTCAAAAGATAAAATTTTTTGAATTGACCAATTTTATGTTATTCATAAACAAGGCCTCCACACATATTTACAGAAAATGACTAACCGTAAGGTATCAGGAAATGATAGCTAAGGAATTTAAAACAGGATTATTTGTGATTCTTGTTAGAGTGCCTCTTTGCTGTTGGTATAAAAAAATCCTTTGATTGTTTTCTCTCTCGAATATTAAGTCAATTAGCATCAATTTTTTGAAATTTTCTGTTCAGGTAACTAAATACAGGTATCATCTACTTTATAGGAAAACAGTTTAAGGTAAAACAAAAACTAATCATACATAGGTAATGCGATAAGTAGGATAAGCACTTGCATCCTTAAAAACCACAAAGATGGTAGGATTCATTACGTTATCTACAACACTATCATACAAATCATTCTTCAAATTGCTTCGTCTTTGTGGAGGTGCAACAATATTTTGATATCCTTGGCAATAATCTCCAGTTATAACATCCACGAGAAACATTCTTCGATTGCCAGATTGGTTTGGTGCTGCGTACCCATGGGAATATTTAGCAGTCGTTGCAAAATAAACACCTCGTCCATACCTTGTTGCTATGAAAATTAAATACATGTGTGTAGGTTTCAGTATCACATACCCTGTATATTAAAAACAATTTCAACGTTTTCACATGCTTTTCATAAGCATTGTGAACAGAGAATTTCTGTACAGAAATAAGGCATCTTCAGATCACGAAGTAGTAAATCGTTACATACTTCTTGTACCAAGATGAATATGATAAAAAAAAAAACTATGTAGTACAGTAACTACGTCACATGCATATTTTTCAAAAATCTACCTAAGCTTTAGTTTTAACTACCCTTTTCAAAAGGTAAGAAAGAAATTATATCTTGAGAAAGCTACATTATTTTACCATTTTTTCCAGCGTAACTTCTATCAAAACCATTAGAAATAATTTGGTCATCATATAAAGTGCCATGGAACAATTGTTCTTCGATTGGTTTTCCAAGATTCGCTCCATGTTTTTCCGTAACTTCTGCCTTCTTTGCAACATATTGTTTGTACAGGGACAGATTTTGTATTCTTTCAATCTTAAATTAGAGCATTGAAATAATATCTAATGAGTCACAGGCTAGGTTTGAAAAGCTCCAAAATACAAGATAGTAATGAAGGCTGATAACAATCTTGGTGGACTCAATTCCATTTAATCCATTTACTCAAATCAACACATTTTGAATCTTGAATTGGGAAACGATTCAAACACCCAGCCTAGATTTACAACTGGTTTCCTATATAAGCTTTCTATCATCTTTATTTTATCCAGAATCATGATAGCATTAAGTCATTAATTCTAAAACATATTGATGACATCATTGCAGAAAAAATGGATATCATAAAACCCAAAAAGATTTTTGAAATAAATAAAAGTTTTTAGCGTAAAATAATCTTCAACCTCTAAATTTTCAAAGCAATAGATTGTTATTGTAGAAAGCAATTTTTTCAAAACGAAAGAAGACTAACAAGAACAACATCAACGTAATAACAAAACTATCTATATGTACACTTCTTGTCTAAAAATCACAAAATTTAACTCACAGAGACAATAGTTTGATGAAATTGCCCAGCGCTTATGAACTTTGCTAATACGTTTTGATATTCTTGAGAGCCTGGTGTTAAATATACTTCCAAACGTTGTTTTCCAGACATGTCATCCCAAAAAGTAGGAATATCTAAAGAGTGAAGCATTTAACAATGATAGAAATGCATTTAATGTGGTCAAATTACCATGAACAAATATTTTGTAGGTGAATAAGAAAAAACTTAGAAAAGTGCCAATTTTGAAAGAACATTCACAATTTAAAAAATATTTACCACTGACACTTTTTTCTTTTACTCTTCGTCGAATATCTGGCGGGTTTCTACCTTGTGGGTCATTATCAAGTTTAGAGAGGTTGATGGTTGTTTGGATCACTTTGACTCCATCAAATTCAGATACTTGGACTTTGTTCAATGCTGGGTTAGTACTGTCTCCATTACGTTTCTGTTGTCACAGCAAATAAAACTCATCACAAGTGATTTGATATAAATTATAGAGTAACATACTCTCAACTATGTTGACTTGAATAATTAATTACATTGAAGTTTGAATTGATAATTTTATCACACTTTCACAGGCTACTTGGTTTAAAGTGAGTTTTTTATGAACCTGCTTCGGGCAGATTGTATGAAAAAATATTATAAAATTCAGGATTTAAAAATATTTAATTTGAAATACACAAAACTACTGAAAAAAACCTTGAATGCTATTTCCAATTTATGCACAGCACGCATCGGAAAATCTTTCCATGCACCAGCTTGATCTTTTCGTTGCCAAAAGACAAAAGCAGCAAAGGTTTCCGCAGCTGCAAATTCTCTTAAAATATCTTTAATTGCTTCGTGAGCATTGACCACATTTTTGGTAAGACCATCCAATATCAGTCTTTTCGTATACCTTATTAAAAAAGAAAGAATTTTCATATTTTTCCTAAGACATAGAAAGTCAATGGGACACTCTAGCCAGATAATGATCGGCCAATCAGCTGTTGTTAACATTGGTATAGTGGAAAGAGTCATATGTGACAATATGTTATATTAAAAATGTGACAATTGAAAGAATTGTCACACATTATTATCCCTAACAAAATAATACTCCATATTTCAAACTAATTCATAGATTCAATGTTCCAGTACAGATTGTATCAACAAAAACAAACATGTCCGAATCATCCGTGATTTCAATCTTTTCGCTTCTTCCGATCTCCGAGATTTCAAACCATTCCCATTTACCTAATCTACCAATAACATCATCAACGATAGCTTGTTTTTGAGTTATCTTTTGAATGTCATTGTTGATAGAATCGATAGCCTGCAAACAATTGATACTGATTAATCTATGGAATTTTTAAATGTGCGAATATTTTTGATACAATGGACCAGCAAAAATTTCAAACCAATCAATTAAAAACAAATGTCATTCTGAAAATAAATAAGGGAAGTCATCATAAGACCTTTGTAAGGTGATTCATGTTATCATCGTTGGTTTGTTGTACTATAGCAGGGGTGGCTAACACATTGACCAGTCGATCGCCACGTCTCGAGTAATCAATCACGTCTGATGTTGTGTGGATTTAATAACATATCCTAAAAAATTGTCTTTAAAAAGAAGAAATATGGTAGATATGCAGATCAGTATTTGAGTGTTGGCCAATTCAATATACATATTATTATATACCTAATGAAAGTTTTGCCGCTGCCAAAGTTTAAGAATAAATGTGCTGATTATTGTGCGAGTGATCGATTATTGACCCTACCCACCATACTTTCAAGCAAAATTTGACTACAAAAAAAGAGGAGCTGTTTAATCCAACATCTTCTTCAACAGAAGGTTACTAGCCCTTTGACAGCAATTTGTGGAGTTATCTTCATATTCAGTACTCATTTGTTTTTGCGTATAACATTATTATCAATCAGTGGCGAGCTATTTTGAAGATTTCTGTCGATCAAGATCAAAAGCAGGTTGGCCACCCCTGTACTATAGCAAAGAATTTAAATACAAAAATTTATTCAATAAGAAACCCTATACCTCTTCTATATATTCTTTGTTCGTTGAGTAAAGATATAAAGGAAAAGAATTATCTTTGTATTGGATGTCTTCATCTGCAGTTCCACTGCCAGAGGAGAAGAAACCTGCCAAATTGAACCATTTAGTTAACTGCAGTCTATTTTTTGCAAACCCTCAATCTTTCAATGAATTTTGTAACGAACCTAAACAACAGAAATACATGATTACTATTATCAATATTTCAAAAATTTTAAATTACAACAATGATTATATGTTATGAATATGATATCAGATGTTTGAAAGAACAATAAAAATGCACTAATGCCTTGCTAGTGATTTCTAACAGAGAAGTGAAACTGGTCGTCAACTTTGTCTCCCAGTTTGTTAAATAAATAAAAAAAAAAGGTTGTGCCATAATTTACTTTTTCCCAAAGTCACGTAATTTTGACAAAAATCCCTTCTTCGCAGTTTCAATCAAAATCGTATCTTTAAAATCTTTCAACATTTTTTTATCGAAGATTACAACTTTCACAGATGATGGATGTCTGGAATTTGGATACGACTTCACAAACGACTCGATTGAGTCTCGCATGATCGATCCTATAGTCGAACAATCCATATGAAGATTTCCTGGACAGATAAGTATGTTGATGAGAAGACATACCAGTACATTGAACAGTTTGTAATAACTTGCAGTCTACATATGCATGTACCTCGAGATTTTTCAAGGAATATTACCATAAATAGGGCTCCAGAAAATTGAGAAATAAATTTTTAATGCAGTCCGTATATGAACACATATCTAGAATCTACAATTTTTTATGTACTAAATATTATGATAATTAAGGCCTTATAAAAATTGAGAAACAACTAACCCTAGATCTGACATTCAAAACCAGCACAAAAGAGAGCGCCAAATTTGAACGCCTTGATGACTTTCTCGTCCTTGAAGATACAAATTTCAATACTATGCATATGCAATGTGTATGTGGCCCTTAAAATGAATCTCTTAATTGTTGGCACATACACACACACACACTACATTAAAAACTATAATTTTGTTAAAAACTGTACTAAAATCAGTGAATGTTTCACATAAGTATTTACCTACGCTTCCTTTAATACATTTGGAATATTGGAATGTTTAACTGACTTAATAATTGGGAGATCTGTAACCAAACAAGATTTCTGCATGTGCCAAGGCAACCCACTGGGGCCCCTTAATTTTCTGTTTTACATAGCAAGTCGTAATTAACGATATAATAAAAAACATACCTGTTCCAAAAGCAGGAAGCGAAACCGATGACAATCCTAATTTTCCGACTTCGATTAAAGCCCGAATTATTTTTTTCTGAAGATCTTTCTGATTGCTAGGCATCACCAAGTGGATGATCTTTTTACAAGGAAGGTTTCCTCCAGAAGTTACAACATAATCTCCCCCAGTTTGATCCCACGCCTCATTTTGAATTGAGTTACCACCCACATTCAAAATTTGGGTTGAAACCATACCTGGTAAATTATTATTTGTCAGACTTGTTCAATATTTAATGAGATTGATTGGGAAAAATAACCAATCCCAAAAATCCCAAAACGTTTCAATTTATTTTAATAAAAAGTTATGAAATGTAAACTACACTGAATATTATTTGTAACCTGTACTAATACAATTGTGAATTGCAAAAGTCCAAATATCAAAAATATAAAAGATGATCCAGTAGATGGTACCCCCAAAAAAGTGCAGCAGATTTCCAGTATTAGTACTACGAATATTTACAGACATCAATAAATTAAAAAACTTCTATACTATATCTTAAAAATTATTAACATTATATATTCACCCTGGGAAAGATCAAATTTTTGATCCGTGCTGTTAACTATTACATCAGTATCTTGTTCAGTGATGTCGCCTTTAATTACTGATACTTTCAATGACCCATATCGAGTTGTTTCATCATCAATTTTTTTGATAATGATATCATCATTTTTCGATTCTTCAGAAGCAGTAGGAGTGAAAGATGGATTTCCACTGGAATTTAATCCTGTTTTGAACTCAGCATTGAAAGCCTAAATATTTGTTTCAGAAAAAATGATATTTAGTAATGTTTTCTGAAAATATCTAAATGATAATTAGTGTCATGGACCCTAGTCTATTGTGTGTCAAACTGCAATTCTTTCGAATGCATATGTAGCAGTTGCAACAGAAATGTGTTAAAGATATAGTGTCAGATGATAAGAACAACACCACTTTCCATGGATTAGTAATGAGCCTTATGGATTGCAGTCTAACTTCTACCGCTGAAACAAAATATGACAACACCAGAAAACTTTGAGATAAAAAGCTTATTATATTATCATTTATTAAATTATCAATCAATATTATATTTCAGTGTCATTTAAGATTGAAATTGAATAAATACTATTCACTCTTGTCTTATTTTACTTTCAAATTGTTCCTCACCAATCTAAGCATTGATTGGCGTTTTAATGTTGATATGACTTCTTTATTGCCTTCTATGGGCCCATAATCTTATTTTTAATTACATTTTTACGCATTATTTCCATGAATGCGATAAGATTTCGAATTACATCTGAAATGAGCTTGACTAATATCTGTGGTTCTGATTTTTCCAACATTACTTCTACGGATAAATATAAATTAAATGTTGATTGTTTCATTGTTTCATCATGATTTGAGATTTGAATTTAAACAAAATTTATTTATCGCTATATTTAAACTGCATGATTGTTCATTTCTTGCCATTGTTATAAAATGCTTGTCTGAGGAAGTCTGACTTTGGTCGGACGAAACGTTACAGAAATACATTTGAGTTAGTGTGCAGCTGGACTCTTTAATTGGATAGAATAGAAGGTTTTTGCTGCTGTTTTTTGGTTACTCCACGATGATTAGAATCAAAGATAAAGAACAGAAATATTTTAATAGAAAATGACTGTGAAAAAATTGCTGAATACGCAGCCGCAAGGTGTTTCACATACACAACTGTTCAGTTCCGCTTTTTTAATCGTTTGTGCGAATCTGTTTATGGAATGTCATGGTAATCAGTGAAACTTTGTTTGTTTGTTTTAGACGTTACACAACTATAGCGTAATATTTGGTGTTTCGAAAGTTATGTCACGGATATCTGTAGGCCCTTTTAATGTAGCTGGGATAGTGACATTCATTAGTGAATATGACATTTGAATTGTTCTTATCAATTAATGTTACTATATCTTCTCGTATTGTTATAGATATATAAAATCGACATGATTTTCTGAAACATGTTAACTAGTGAGTTCAACCCAAAGAAGAATGTGTTCTTCAAATTTGAAACTGCACTGGTTATTTCCATGCCTAATGTTCACTAATACAAGGGCGAGGGCCAGCACCCGATCCACGATTAGGGCATGTTATGGGCTTTCTTGTTCCGTAGATTGAATATGAAAAATCCTATCTTAATGTTGGGGTTGAAATAAATACACTTTATAATATAGAAATCAGTCTTCTTCAACCTAGATTGCACGGAAACCTAGTATTTCTTAAAACGCTTATTGGGGTTTTGTGAGAGTGAGAGTATGAATAGACTGTCCGAATTGTGTAATATTCTCCAAATTGTGAAACAGCATAATTTGCTAAGAACAAAAATCTTAACTAGCGTAAGTAGTGTGGATATGTGCATGAGTATTGCATAGGTAAGTCAAATAGCATACCAAGAGTTCCACGAGAAAACGCCGATTTAAATCACAAACACCAAATTGGATTATTATACTAACCGATATAACAGCTCGATTTCCAGAATAAAGCACAATGAAAACCTGCTTTAAATTATTTCCTTGAAATTGAGATATTTCTTGTCTCATCCATTGGGCAATAAGATTTGGAGGATGGCTGTATCCTCCTGTAGCAATAGCTGAAAAAGCAATGGACCTAAAAACAAGATTACAATAGTTTCAACAATTCACAATGTTGTGAATTAAAAAGTTAAATGATAATCTAGTAATTGATATACGGTGTATCTATCTACCTGTCCTGCTTACTAAAAAAGGTCCATTTCCTTAAAACTGTAGCTAATTGTCTAGAACAGTGATTTTCAACGAAGTTTTTATTACTATGCATTATATGTGTAAACCTTGGTTACCTTCATTACAGGCTATCACCCGACTCAACCAAATATTCGAAAAATTATTTCAGATTTCCAATATATTTTGGACAACTACAATAGACTAAAAGAAATTTTCCAAAAACCACCTAGATCAGGGGTGTCAAACTCGTGGGTTCTCGTGGGCCGCATTGCATTTTTGGAATTGTTCGAAGGGCCGCAAACATTTTCTGGTAAATATTTAATAATGTATACTTGGAGTATATTTTTAGACAGGTCTAGTTTGTGACATATATTGTGATGCAATTAAACAGCCGAATAAAGTTTTGTTATTTTTTTGAATTTTAAATGCCATTTACATATTAATTTTTCCATTTCACTATTACTTCAATTTACTGTATTTATCATAAATATCATAAATAAAAATCATAAATTTTTATGTACAACTATCCAAATCATTTTTGAACAAAGTTTTGATAAAGAAAGAATAATACCTACACTAAAAATGACTTAATCTAAATATATAAACTTAAAATTTACAAAAATACTAACTAAAGAATAAACTCAGTGTTTTTTTTTATTACACATGTCCCGACGTTTGGCATCTCTTGTGTGCCACCAGCTTACTAATATCAGGCTGAAATGATTTTACAGTAGCAACTCTAATTAACGAGGTCACATGATCATCGGTTACTCTGGATCGTTGAGAATGTTTGATTAATTTCAGTAAAGCAAAAATATTACGTTTATCATTTCATGTATAGATCAGTGAACAAGCAAATGACTGACTTTTCGGACCAGACATTTCCCACCACATTTCGCGACATTTCCTACCATTACGTGGCATCAATTTCACTTCGAAAAATGTAATATATATCTATATTTAGATAAAAAAAATATTACAATAATTGTTAAGCGTTCGAGGGCCGCATTGGAAGTTCTCTGGGGCCGCATGCGGCCCGCGGGCCGCGAGTTTGACACCCCTGACCTAGATTATATTATCGTAAATTCTCTTTTGGCAGATTAGTCAGAACAAAATGAGGACCAGATAGTACCCGTAAGAAAAAAATCCAGAATCTTTTCAATGTGGCAGAAAGTCACGCAGTACTTTCGAAGAGGTAAGAAAAATAGAATAATGCCACAAAAGATGAATATTAACGAAGTTTGATAGAATTATAAATCTGTCATTCATTGTTTAAATCATTTCCTGTGCTTAATGTTTTTCAGATAATTGAATCATACAAGGTCAAGTATGTCATCAACAGAGGAATAATCCACCAACTTATAATTTACACAGTTTCATTTCTATAAACACCTATATGGCCTCATGGGCTGAAAAGGGTTCAAAAAATAGAGTTTTAATGTAAATGCAACTTTTTTATATTCTCATTACTACGAATTACAATGAAGATGCATGAAAATTGATTATTTTGCATTGGTTTGCTAGTCTTAAGATAGCGTGCAAATGCGTTAGTCGTGTGCAGATCGCTGATTTGCAACTTTCATTGTTGATAAAAACTGCTTGCAAATATAAGTACTGCCAAACATAGCAAGTATGCGACGTTAGTGTGCAGTTAATTATGCAAACCTTTTTTCGGACACACTGTCTGACCTAAAATCATTTATTTACTCACAATAAATATACCAAATACAATTATTGAATTTTAAGTATAACAATAGAATAAAATTTGATAAATGATGAAACTTACTCATAGTTGACATCGTACTATTTTAGGTTTTTGTGAAGAAATATCAACCATTATGCGGTCGAATAAATCTGCTCCTGTCACGTGTTTGACCCCTGGTCTAAAAGATAGTCTTCTGTGTAGTAAAAACATAATAACATTCATCATGCAACAGCGAAATTGCAACCCCAACAATGTTACAAGCTGCTACATGCTTAATTAACGGCAACAGTTGATTAGGTGAGAGTAGAAAATTTATATAGAACAGAAAAGTGTGAACTTCTTATTTGCAAAATTAAGCCTCAATGCAGGTAAAATGAACTCCCAAGCAGTAAATTTATAACTGGTTAAGAAACGTTTGGCTCAACAGCTTTTTCAGAATGGAGGTGATTGGCCAATTAAAATGATGAGAAGAAAGTTCCAATGTGCAGTTAGTTACTTGATTAATCATTCGTAAAGCATATCAAGTCTTACTTGAATCTGGACATCTCAGCTTTTTGTAAACTTTTCGACACAACTGATTGTATAATTCCTTGCGAATTCCTCTGATTATAATTTGTCACAAGTGCATGATATAATTTTCTACATGGTAGCGATCCTCCATCAGTTTCCAGAACATCTCCGACATTGAATGGTCGCAGTAGATTTGCACATTGTTGCTACAAAGATATATAATTGCAATAAATCAAAGGATAATTGATATGTTACTCTAGAACAGACATGGACAAAGTGCGCCCGCGGGCCAAATCTAGCCGCTCGGTAATTCAATCTGGCCCGCCTGATGTTGCCACAACCAAAATCAAATGTTTGATGCTTTAGCTAAAATAACTCAAGGAATTTGTTGACGATTGTGGTTATATTTAGTTTTGGCCAAGACTTGTCGTTTTCTACCTTCGCTTTGTAATACTGTAAATATTGTTCATAAATGTAACTTTTACGTCACACTTTCATGCCCCACCAGTCTAAGTAGACAGAATTTTTAGCCCCTCGTTTCAAAACCATGCCCACCTCTGCTCTAGAAACTAACATCTTTTAAGTTTTGACCTTTTTTGATCAAGAGTGTTTATAGCCATTGACTGCGAATTCTGTTCATTGACAGCAATTTTTTAGTAAAAGATATCTTTGAGTAAAACGCTTTGAATTAGTGAAGTTTGCTACCATGAAACTCTCAATCGACCAAATTGATTCTTGAGCTTCAAGTCAACCATAATTTATTGGTGCACAGAGCAACACCATAATTCTGTGGAATTTCTAATATTATTTGTGAACTATCTCCAATTTTTTATCTTAACCAGGTATAAAACTTCACACAGAAATACAAAATTTCATATAAAACACAAGAATTGCATACTATTATGTTTGCTCCAGCTTTTTGACCAAGTAATTTTGACACAGCTCCAGCCTTCGCAATATTATTCACATTCTGTGTATCTGTTACATTGACGATAACATCGGCCTGAAAATAAACCCATACAAGTCGTAAAAAAAATATGTTTTTCAGTCTACCTATGTTGGTCTGAGTTTCATATTCATCACAGGGGACAAAACAAGTGAGATAACGTAATCACTTGATACATCAAAGAACGACTTAAACCCTTATCTGTAACCTAAAAACAAGCTGTGGCATTGGAAAAAAATAGATTAATCATACAACCAATCCCCACAACAATTTTGTATTCCATAAGAGAAATACTGCCTCATTTTTATTGATATTGTTTTTTTGCAAAAAAGTTCATAAATGTGGTTTTAAATATGAGCAGGCTTGGTCAAAATTTCAAATTGAGCCCAACCGAGGCTTGGAAATGCCTAATTTTTGTACAATATTTTTTGTCAATTTAGCACTTGAGAACAAAGAAAATTTTTTATTGTTAGAACCAGGTCTTGTTCGCTTCAGGTAGAATAATACACATTGTATTAATTCTTACCAATAACTGGAAAGAGAAATACCTAAAAATATGGTGTGATAAGTACTACGCGGTACGTCCAAGGGTTAGTTAACAGCTGTATTTTCCTTTCCCCTGAATCAGCAAAACCAAAATGTTCTAAATCAATCACTTTATCTGGTGGTAGTTGTTTTAGTTTTGAATTACCCATATCAGGCATAAACAGGGAGTACTGCATTGCACCAAGCAATTTTTACACTAAAGCTGAAACACAAAATATTGTTAATAATATAGCTACATGCTGTGTTGATATATCCCCAACAATGACGCTAATTCTACAGCAAGAAGTTTGCACTGTTGAGCCAGAAGCTTGATTGATCTGTTGAGATCTTGAAGGTTGAGACAAAAATCTTGAAGGTTGCAAAAGCGTTTCTTTGGGTCGGTATTTCTTAACAGCTTTTACAAAGGCGTCCAGTACTGCTTGATTGTCGAGTTCAACAAAATCAACCTTTGATTTGTGAAAATAAAAAAAAAATTCGGACTTGAATTGGCAGTGTCCAAGCATTTATTTATATGCTAATATAAAGTCATTACTGGATTAAATGTCATATAAAACTCACTTGGCTCGAAAAGTGGTGCTTCATGACAAGCATTAGAAACAACACACCTAATCAACTTCAGCGAGTTTAGAGGTTTGAATTTAGCAGAAGATAAATATATGTGAAACAATAGCTGGAAACATTAATACATGCACCACTGGTCAGTTATGTCTGCCATTAAGTTTATATAACTGAATCTAATAACTGGTTAAGTATCAGCCGAGCATTAGACATAAATTGAAAACAGACAAAAAACAAAGTTTACAAAATAATTAAGCAATTTTACCAGCTTTCGTTTCCCCAAAAATTAATATGAAAATTCTATCCCACTGTTTTTCGTGGAGCATTTACCTGCTTAACACTTGAATTCGGAGTTTCATTGAAATAATCAACAACAGCATCCAAAATAAGTGGAATGCAGACACTAATTTGTCCACCAAAGACGCCACAACTTATAGCAGGTATTGCTACTGATTTTAATCCAGCAGTTCCAACACATTTCAGACTTCGTAACACGCAGGCTTTCAGAAGAAGTTTGGGATCTGATCTGCTGGAGATTGAATTCCATCTGGAAAAACAAAACATCTCATTTGTATATGAATAAAAACTGACTATAGAATCAGGAAGGCAAACAAAACAAGGTTTAAAGCGTACAGAATTTAAATTTCATTCATTTCATACAAATTGCAAATGAGCTAAACAATCTGAATAAATCATGTATCTCAATATATTGAATGAAAAAAAACAATTTTTTTTATACACGTCATAAGGTAATTGTTGAAAAATACCAATTGCAAATACCAAAAAATTGTTTTCGAATACCAAATAGTCGAATGAGAAATATTTTTAATATAATACAGTCCAGAATATCAGAGGTCGACACTCCCTTTGAAAATAATAGAAACATTGAAAAGTCGGTAACAAAGCGTTTTTGCTGATTGTTTTTGTCACCGTATTCATTTTTTTATGACTTTATTTTATTGAACACATTTTGGTAAATTTTTGTTCTCGAGGTTTTACCTCTTTATTGTAGACAGGGGAAAAATCACTTTAAATATTGAGTACTTGAGATGAATAAAGTCGCTTGAAGGCGGATACTTTTATTTCGATTTTTTTTTCTATGCAACCCCCCTTTAAAATTTGGAAACTTACATCTCTACTTTAATAAATTTCAGGTAAGAAAATATGATAAAGTTAACCTTGGACCGATAGCATGAACAATCTTCTTGCAAGCAGGTAAGTTACCAGAGGATGTCATTTTTGCACTTCCAGCAAGCAAATTCCCATGATTCTTTCTAATGATTTCGTACATTTCTTTTTGAATTAAATCCCCATTGTCTTGGTCTAGAAGAGAAAATAAAATAGGAAAATAAAACAAAAAATTTTGATTTTTTCAAGAGCTCTTAGACATGAAATATATTATTTAATCAGTTATGCAGTTTTAGATTTTTTAAACAATAGTGGTTTCTGAACTTGGCAATTTCTGAAAATTGTAGAAAACATTCTATAACAATGAGTCACAGACTGGAAATCATGAGGATTGTGAGTTATAAATACAAGAGAGCAATGCTCGAATAAATGGCCATGAAACCTGTGCTTTGCAACGAAACTGGGAACTGAGTTCCATGAAATTGTCAGTGAACCAGTGTTTCTGTAAATTAGAAAAGTGTTCCCAAAAATTAAAATTGAACAGCTTTTTTATAATGCGCTTGCATAGAAAAAAATACAAATGAAAGTATAACCCTTCAAGCAGCTTTATTCTCAATATTACTCAATATTCGAAGTAATTTTTCTCCTGTCAACAATAAAGAGGAAAAACCTCAACAACAACCAAATTGGCCTTAATGTGTTCAATGAAATAGAGTCATGAAATATAAAAATTAAATACTAACCTAGTTCCTTGATAACCCCAGAAACCCCTCCAGGAAGAAGTGCAAGTTCAGGATTTGAAGCGTTTACTATTACATCACACTTATGTTTGACAATATTTGTCTTCCATACTTTCAGTTTGACAGAAGTTCTTGCCAAAGTTACTGAAATCAGTTCTTGTTCTTTAAAATCCTGTACAAGAGATTGTTTTGACTGACAACGAGATATTAAGTTAGTTTTCCATTTATATGATAATGCCATATGCCTCGGGATTAATAGGGCACTAAATATCTTGAAATTTGTTTACCATTGCTTGTCAACTGGGGCCCCCGAAAATCCATAAAAATATTTGAAAGAGGAGAGGCTTTGTGTACATCATTGTATCAGTTCATAGTTTCCCAAACCAAGCTACACAGTTGTTCTTGCAGGACAAGAGCAAAAGCCTTCACTATGTACTATGTGCAATTAATATGCAATAATTTTAAAGTAAATTAACAGTGATTTGTTTACTTTTTCTATCGTCACACTTTAAATCTTTCGCTTTTGTTTGTTGACCCTTTATTTTTAAACTTTATTCACAAACAAAATAACTGGCGTAATTGTGACAAAAGCAAAAATTGGTATGTTCATGATAGAGCAGGGTGAAACAATAGCTGTGGAGAACCATTGAATTAAAAGATGCAAAAGCCCAATTGACTTAAAATTTAAGTATGGGTATAAAATAAATTTAAGTATAACTTACTACAGATGAGGATATTGGAACTATCGGTTCCAAAAACAAATTCTTCTTATTATATTCAATCCATTCTGCACATTCTTTTGACATGGTAAGAATGATGCAATTATTAACTCGTCCTGTTTGTTCGAGAAATTTTCTGCCTTCTTCTCCCTGATAATATTCTTTAATTCCGGGTTCATCCAAAGTATGCGTCATTTCAATGATTGTATTGCGTAACTTTCTAAAATCAGTATGAACTGAAAGAAAAATAAGGCTGAATATCTAACAAGATATATTGTTAAAAAATCTTTCCATATCAATGAAGTAAGTATATGGACTACTTATGTTTCAGAATCTTTTATGAAACGCTCATTCACACCTTTCATCTTGAATAAGGTCCTGTACAAGTACCAACAATTCAATGATATGAGAAGATGTGCTATTTTAGGAAGGACTGAAATCTGCCTGGAATGGCAAAGTCTACTAAATCTCTTAATCCCTGGGTGAGGTGGTAAGTTTGGGATTTGAATCATGATGTGTAAATTAAATCAATAATTGAACACTTTCTGTTCCACGAACGTATATACAAGTAATTTGGCACATGCCATTCGATGCTACAAACGTATCTATGGGCTTTCAAAAGAGAAAAAGTAAAAAAAAGAATAAAAGTTCAGGTTTAGGTGTTCACAAACAATTTTCTCTCATCTCTTGTTGCAGTGCAATTAGTATGCAGTCTTTACTAAAATCAAAAATTACTGAAATCAAAATAGTTACTATACCTTCTATGTAATTTTGTAGCTAAAACCAAAATGTTATAAAAGTCTTACCATCATCTAATGCCCTCATTTTTCCTGTTGCAAAAACTCCGCCCCCTCCTTCAGGAGTCAATCCACACTTTATTTCTCTCCTTTCACAAGCTTCAGGAGTAAACAGAGGAGATCTTTCTATGACAAAACGCGCACTACCATATGGCAATTGCAGAAAATATCGTTTGATCGCATTGTTGTCAAGAAATTTGTTTATTTCAACTTTCAGCATTTTGACTTTTGATCTGATTCCAACCATCAGGATTTCTTCATTTGGCTAAAAAATGACCCAAAAAGCTTTAAAAATATATACAAGTTCAATGTCATTTAACAGTAATAACAATATATTTTGAGACAATCATGATAGCCTTTGATGTTTCAAGCAAACAGCACCAAAAAGCAACTTCTTTTACAAATTTACTACAATAATATTATAAATGATATTGAAAATATATACATAGCTTACATATATCTGTTTGCATTATCGAAGTTATCATTGATTTGTTATAACAAACTAAAGATAAAAACTAATGATAAAAAATAGGGATTCGAAGAGTATATGTGCTCAAAAATAAGAACTACCGGTAGTTCCCTCTAATTTCATACCAATATTATTATTGTGGTACATTATAGCGTAAGTAGTGACACTGTGATTTTATCACCATGATTCTTTTTTGATTTATATGAACAAAAACACCTAAGTATTTTACTCTAAATTCTGAAGTCTGCTTTAACCTTTCCATTCCATACCATTCCAAACATCTCAAGAAGTGTGGATTATTGTGATGTATTTTCATTGTGATGGAATTACCCTACCGAAATCACCATAATGAAATTACTATGGTGAAATTACCAGATCCCCAGATAGGAGTTTACTTCGAAGGATATTAAAATAATTTTAAATTAACAAGCTCTCTTATGATACAATTTGCAGAGATGAGGTAAAACAATCCAAATATCATAAACCTACTTGGGGGCTCCCGAAGTATGCGAACCAAGATGGTGGACATCGGAATGTAATATGTGTACTAGGTTAGAGTTAGGCCATAATTTTATGTATAAATACTACGGGAGGCTCTTGGCTAGTCTTCGAACTGATAATAGGACTAAAATAAGGAAAATTGGAAAAAACTTATCGCCTAACCCTAACCTGTTACCCATGTTACGTTCCGATGTCCGCCATCTTGGTTCGCATACTTCGGGAGCACCCCTACTTGAGTATGTATCTAAATATTAGTACACTGCACCTACTGATGGGACGAAGATGGGGGAACATAATTGAAGACAGACCAGAATTGAATACAGAATAGTAAGGTAAGTGTGATAAGGATGTGGTAAATTCAAACTATGGTGTATATTTGCTGGCTTGTTCTATTCCTAGGTAATAATATATGCAACCTTGATATAAATTCCACATGCATTATCTCGTCGTAAATCTTGATGAAATTCTTTCCAAGCAGGAGATTTTACAACTTTAGCTCTTGGTTCATCAGTCCGTATCGTTTCAATAACAATATATTCCTTGATCAGATTGATTCCTTGTTTGAAGTCATTAATTGTTCCGACTCTGAGACAAGGTTCTTCACCATCTAAGCCAATCATAGCTAGAAAAAAAGAGAAATTGTAGAGACTCTTTAGAAAAGAAATATGGGTGTAATTATAGGAAGGAAATTCAGTGCAAATTAAAAAAAAGTGATATTTTATTTGACACCTACTCGCCTTTTACTCCAAACAAGACTCTCACATGCATACTGCCACTGATGCCTCACAATATGATAGACGCTATCATTTAAAATTGATTTGCAGGAAAGAATTTTATATGATAGACGCTATCATTTAAAATTGATTTGCAGGAAAGAATTTTCATATTCATTTTTGGGTGCTCCCGAAGTATTTGTACCAAGAATGCGCACAACCTGAACATAGTATGTGTACCAAGTTAGGGTTCAGGTTGTGCGTCATCTTGGTATGAATACTTCCGAAATGCCCATTTTTGTGGGGAAGAAAAGTGAAAAATGATGTAATCAAATGGTCTCAGTTTCAGATTCGAGTCGAAGAATCCATGCATTTTTAAAATTCAAATTAAATTACGAGTCCACGTCATTTTTTACTGAGTCCAATAGGCGTAAATCATGCTTGTTTTATCAATTAATGTTCCCGTTATGTATTCTCACTTTCATAAATCTCAGTACAAACCATTTAAAGTTGAAAATCCAAGACTCGATGCTGGGAAAACATACACGGATACTACTTGTATATAGCCTATTATAAAATCTCACAATAAAATATTTTGAAGTCAAGTCAAAATTACAACCCGAATCATGACTCCCTGTTGGACCTTTTTCCTACTCTGAGTTAGAATCAGAGTAGACCGTAAATTTTACCCGACTCCACAGACCTCGCCAAGCCACAAGTTACAGACACCAGATGAACACAATGATACGATTTTAAACTTGTAGCTCTGATAATAAACAGACAAACAGTATTGAATCCCAATTTGCTTCTAGTTGGTTAGCATAAGTATGTCTACCTATTATATTTTTTTCCCTCAACTGATTTTGAATTAGTTTGGTTATCACTTCAGATCCTGACATTGACTCAGATAAATATCTGACAACACTTTCTTCCAAACCATTCAATCGTTTTTTTTCAATGGTCTGAAAAGAGAATAAAAACATTTGGAAATTCCCAAATTTTAATTATTTGCATGTAATAAAAGTTTAATAATCAACAAATTTTAATATTTGTGTTTCGATCAGTATATCTATTGAACGTGCTAATGTATTCTAGACCAAAGGTTTTCAACCAGAGGGAATCTAACCTGCTTTAGGGTCGTTGATATATTTTGCAAGCCCATTGTATTTATTGTAATTCACTCAGGTCATACAGGTAAAGATAGTGTAAGGAGGGTAAATTTTACTTCTGAAATTTTCCAAGGGGTAAACTATGGAATAAAGGTCCCTCCCTGATCTCAGGGATTTGGATGTTTTACCATTGTCATGATCAATCTGAACTGGTAACTGTACAAAACTATAATTTATCAAAAAGCATATTAAAACGCTGTTTTGTGTGATAACAATTATGGAATTATAGAATTTTTTATATATATATGGGGTAGAAGGGAGAAGACTATAAAATTCTTTAATTTCTTGGAAGACGCTTATTCCCGCCTCTCACAAATTGTGTAGCCTGCGGCACCAACACAGTTAAGTCGAATTCGTTGAATGCTGGGGGAAGGACATTGTAGGACATTGTGCCAACATGTTCGCTGAACCACATTACCCCACGATTTATAGCAAACCAGAGAATCCTTCCTGGTATACAGATTGGATGATGAGTCCAGAACTCCCCTTGCAAATCACACAAAGGCTTATTTTTAGTTAATTATTCAATGAAAACTGAAATAATAGTACAAGATTAGTCACATACATTTAACCTAGTCAAAGCATCAATCTGAAAAGCGGAAAGTGCAGACTCGGGTCCTGTCAATATAATTTTTTGTTGTTTTATGTCACATTTTATCTGCACGTTTTTGTGCTTTATTCTCAGTTGTTCAACAATTCCACAGTTCACCATAACTCTGAAATAATAAGATTCACCTTAATAAACATATTCAGTCATTAGCAAGTTCATAGTTAGTAAATTTCCTGAAACAAGTCAAAATATTGTCCCATAGTAATCCGAATGGCACAATGTAAATCAAATTCTAATATATACAAGCTTGTATGAAAGTTAATTGAACACCTTGCTTTTTTGCAAGGGCAAGCATGACCCTGAAAGTTAATTCAACCTCATCCAGGGTCTCGAATAAATTGGTTAATCATCATTACCAAGAGAAAATTGATGACTGCAAGCGATGTTTAAGGAAAAAAAATCGCTTGCTATTTGAAAATCAACTTCAAACGTTTCGAAAATTTAGGGTAGACAGATAGATAAACCAAATATAATATGGTGGCCTTCTAAAACAAAATAACTTCTTAGGTGTAATTGTGTATTCATAAAGATAGGATAGAACGGGATTTACATATCTATTCTAAGGAGACGGCAAGGAGTCTAGCAATCCTGTCGCACAGATTGAAGAAGGCTCTGTGGTTAGCACATATGTAACAGGCTAACTATTCCCCCTTATCTGATATTGACTGGGTCGAGTACAGGTGTTGGTTCGGCATATCATTAAGTTGTCTTACTGATTTTCTACCCTCTCAAGATAAATATAAAAATTCTGTCTTATTCTATTATCTGATTGAAGAAAAAAAAACATTTTAGAAAAAGTTCATTTCATTAATAAAATGTTGTTTTTGTGTAAATTAAAGCATTTGTATAAATTAAACTATCCATCAGCCCTTTTCATAACAGATGAAAAATCTACGGTAACTCACCCAAATTGATCGTTATTGACTGACATTTCAGTCATACTTGAATTCACACAATTTTTTATGTGTTCCATCATACGATCAACTGATGACTTAATTCCAGTTATTTCAACAACTGGTTCGTTCTGCATCCAACTGTAAAAGAAAACACAAAGTTGATTGTCTTGATAATTAGATGTTTAATTAAAATACCTTATTTTTTTGAAACTGATGGACACTATCCAATTTTCAGTATTCAAAGATGGAAAAAGTCGCTCAAAGGCCATTACTTTCATTTCATTTCCGTATACAAATGCGTGTCTGTATCCGTCACTAATAACCAGTTAGTTATTGCAAGATATCATCAATACTTCTGGCTTCTAACAGAACATTAAACTATCCAGATAAAAGAATAAAAACGCTTTCTCACCAAACAATTAAATCACCATTGTCAACGTTTCCAGTATATTTCTCATCAATTTCAGAAAATAACTTATAAGAACGAGCATTTTGTAGTTTTGATCTTTCGAATGTATGAGATGATGATGTATATTCCACCAAAAAATCCTCAAAAACTTTTTGACACCTTACGTTAAAATCATTTTGTGTCTCTCTTTTCTTTTTCTGTATAAAGCAGAATATAATTAAAATCGGGCATGCTAATGAATAGTTTTAAACAAAAGTTACAACAATAATAAAGATGACAAAAAACATGAAATATGTAATACTATTTTACCATAATTCAAATGGAGACAGACGAGAAATCACACAAAATGCAAATGAAAAAAATCAGATTTCATAAACTGAACTCAGATAAGCCCATTTAATTATATATCAAATCATATAATCAAATTATTTTTATAAAACTCGTTCTATTTATTAATCCCATAAAAGGCATAGTTTTAGGTGACAGTAATATTTACAGCAATTGGCTTTTGCAATCGCAATTGACTTTTGAGTATCTTATGGAGAATGAACACTGATTTTTGTGTCAACACCTTTTACAATAAAAACTGATAAATTGAAATGATGTTCTCTTTTCCAATTTGCAATTTCAGTGCAGTTATATTTAAAAAGGTTCCAGTACAAAAGTCGTGAGTAAAGTTGAGTCATAAGTCATCCAAGTCTCGAGTCAAGTATGAATCTCAGCTATTTTACAAGTTTCGAGCAGAATCACTGAAGTCAAATCAAGCCAGTGCAGTTTCTAGTCATAGGCTGAGTTCCAGTTACAGTCAACTACATAAATGCAGGTGAAATGAACAAATATGAGTGAGATGACACATAGAATCCCATATTTCAATAAGCCAATGTTTTTTTTAGCTCCAACTATTAATACATTGACTACATCTACATGGTCCCAACTCACCCAACTCACTTTGAAGATGAGGAAGTAGCTTGAGTCTCTTTTCAACACCAATAGTAGTTACCTGATTTGATGTGAACACAAACATCATATCCTGATCTTGTTGTTGTGGTCTGAATTCAACAGTTGCCAGACATTTGTAAGCATTCTTCAATTTTGAATTATGCTTTTGACTTCCAGTTATAAACTTGATGATCTTTCCATCACAATTTGGCTTCAATTCAAAAGGTTCCAGTCTGACATCAGGTTGCGGGACTGGTTCTGAAAAGTATTATTTGTTATTTTTTAACTCAAAATAGTTATAACAGTATTATTTCTGATATGACACAGGAAAGAGCAACTAAACATTACCAACTGACAATTGGAGAAAAGCATACATTATTTCACAGAAATTTATTTTTCTTGGAGTTTAGGACCTGGAGTCAAATTGAAAATTATCTTCAATATGTCAGGTCAAAATTATTGTTAACCAGAAAACAGAAGTCAAAGTCCTTTTGTGAAAAGCAAAAGTTTGCAGCTAGAGTCGAAATAAATTTTTCCCTACTATAAAGCCCTTTTCAGTATAATGTAATGGTAAAATACCATCATACCTGATACACAATATTATCAATTCATACATTGTACATAAACATCATAAATCAGGTTTTTCATTAATAGAATTTATTGGATTAAATAAAAAATAATATAGGAATTAATGTAAAACCTGGTTTCTTTTCAGGTGTTGGTTTGAAATTATCCAATATATTTAAATGATCGTTTGCAAGAGAATGATGATATAGTTCAACTTTAACTGGTTTCTTATTGATAATAATTGGATGATCACAAGGAACATGGAATTTTTCAAAAATTCGCTCAGCATCTATAAAAAATGAAGTACGGTATGTGAAAAGTTGAAAAAGTGATTTTGCATGATTTCCGGAATTCTACTTTTGAACTTTAAATTCAATGCTATGGAGTTTTTTTATCAAAAAATTTTTCTTGCTTTTTCTTTAGCAGTATTGTCTTGGCAGCATTGACACCTCGTCAGGGTTGCATAACAAAAATAAATATCTGAATATGGACACATGTTTTTCTTTTGTTAGTAATCAATTTTTGGGACTCAAGAACTTTACACTTGGAGTAATGCTAAATAACATTAAATATTCATTCTGCAAATTTTTCTAGTTTAAACCAGTGTCTCCATAACCATAATTCAGAAATGTGTTTAAGGTAGAATTTTGGTAAATTCTTGTGCTATTTAGTTGCTTAGCACCAATTGGCATGACAGAAATCTTTTCAAGTCAACCTAATATTGTGTACTTCTATAATTTCTGGGTGAGTTGTTGAGCATTGGGTTTGTTTAACGGAAGATCTTCAACTTATGGAAGCAAAATAATTAGATCCGAGGCCTCCGCAACATTTGATCATTTCCAGTAAGTTGAAATAGAACAGCAAAGTACCTGTGTGCAGTGCAAAATATACCAAAGCCTGGTTGTCTTTCAATCTATCAATCCTGGTGATGGGACCACCGCCAGTACGTTTTTTGCTTTCAAATATCAGCCTTATTTTACCATTTGTTGCGCAAGTTGGAATGTCGAATACTTTTAAACAATCTGTCCTCAGCAAAGGTGTGGCCTGATCGGAAAATTATTAATTTGCTTATATTAAAAATCTGTAAACAGAAAACAGCTGTCTAACTCAAATAGGAATATGTTGTAACAAGATATTAAACATAGGTTATAGATAGGTACAAATAACATATAATTTTTGGCGCTCCAGTAGTAGGTGCACCAGGATGGCGCACAACCTGATTACCTTAACCTGGTACACATACTATGTTCAGGTTGTGCGCTATCTTGGTGCACACACTAAGGGAGCAGCTAATGTTTAACACAATCTGATAAGATTTTTGCATTTATTCCGGGGGAGAGGAAAGCTGATAAAATGGCTTAATCATGTGCCAAACAAACCACGGCCTCTATGTTGGGTATCAAGAGAGTTGATTGTTGAAAATAGTATTGTCGAGTATGCCAAACGACATATATGATTTAAATTTGGATAAACAAATATCCGTTGATACTGGTACCAAGATTACGAAATTTTTAAAAAATATACAATAAACTCGTATCAGAGTGTGGCAATATCGTCAAAAATATTTGCAGTGTATACCAACATACTTTAAGTGAATTTCCTTCCAACTTTTTTGCTTTTATATTTTGGAGAAGATTTTCAGTTTCTGATACATCTGAAAATGTGAGATATGCTAAATGTAAAATAAATTAAAAAATTAAATTTTTGTGCACTCAAATTAAGTTGATTAATTTTTTTAATGTTAATAAGTAAAGCAGAATGCGGAAAATGATTTTTTTTGATTTACCAATAATACTGTTTTTTTGAAAAATCAGCCAGGCGACTTGTAAATTACAACTGAAAGTTCACAATGAACAAGTCTTTAGACATGTATCCATAAAGAAAACTATGATTCGAATCAGAGTTTAGTTTAACTTACCTTTCTCGGGTCTTGCGATCATAGTCGGCATTGTTATGCAAACGCACTGCTTCTTTGATCCTATGTATTCTCACAAAATCGCGAGATTTATGTTTTGTACTAGTTTTAATATTTGTATTTTGAATCAAAAATTGTGTGAAATTTGTGAACTTTTTGCGACCCACAGTTTGGGAAGACCTGGTTTAACCAACCCACTGTTACAAATAATTAGAAAAATTTGTTCAAACAAGTTGTATGTACCGTATTCATTTCCATATTCAATTCTGTAAACACCAGGTAAATCAATTTTCACACAACTGCTTGGTGCAGTTTCATTCACAGAACAGCTTTCCAAATACATTTCTAATGTATCCATAGTTATTTGGGCTCCAACACCCTGAAATAACAGAAAATTGATAGAATTTTGTATACAAATGTTTCATATGACGCTTATTCAATCTCTCTACATGCAGCCACTGATATCTAATGACATAAAAGAAGCCACTATTATTTTGAAAACACCGCTAGGCTATTGTGGAGCCCATATTAATATTATGTCGACATTTTAATCTGATATCTTAGGTTGGGCTATTTAAATAGCATTCCCTTTTTCTTTTCTCTAACTCTCAAATGTTTTATATCTAGCACAAAAATGATGAGCTGATACACAAAACATCAAAAAACTATAATACATCGCATCAAGAAAATTTGCAAGGATTACTAAAGTGGATACCAAATTGGTAATTGAGAGCAGTGAACAATGAGGAAAATTAGGTAGAACCATGTTTAGCAATATACACACAAGGCTTACCTTCAACACAAAGATATTTTCAAAATATGAAGGGATTAATTTTGGGTAGATCATGAATTCCCCAACATCAAACTTTTGATCGTTCTTCTCAAGACAAGATTCACAATCTGCGAAAAGCAATTTAATACTTCCATACTATACTATACTGATTAAACATATATATGCTGAGATGTTTTATAGTGCATGGAACAGATATAGTTGGATACAGAATTCGGGTCTCGTGAAGCAAACACCGTGACTGCTTAAATACCCCCAAACATAAATGTGGAATGAAAATGAATGCTGCAAGAGATTAAATAACGCCAAACTAAATTGTGATATAAAAATGTAACCAAAATTTTCATTTTTTCTCTAAAAATAAAAGTCCGTATTGTGGGAACACAACACGCTAAACCAGGGATCGGCAAACTACGGCCCGCGGGCCGGATCTGGAACAATATAATCCGGCCCGCGAAGCTTCATTGAATTATATTAACAAAACAACTGTATTGACAATTTCCGTATTTCCCGGCGAATAAGTTGCTTTTCTAGACCCAAATTTTTGGCCTGATTTTCGGGGGGTCGTCTTATTAGGCAATTATGATAATTTTTTTGGTGTCGCCCTATTATTCAATTCGTACCATAAAATACCAAATACCTTCGGAGATAGCATCCCCACGTCCTAATCATTGCCGTGTTATTTTAGATCCGTAATGTTCTTATATGGTGGACGCAATAGCGAGTTAGGTTGAACACAATTAGATTGAAATTGAAAGACAGTTTAAATTCTCGTAGTTGTTATGGATTGAATATTACGCTACAAGAAAAGTCATTATAGGCTATTTTAACCAATGCATGGATTGAATTTTACGCTACAAGAAAAAATCATTATAGGCTATTTTAACAAATGCGCAAACGCGGCGACCGCTCAAATGTCTCTGCATGGTAATTTGAGATTCCGATGTTGATGCGATTTTACTACTCGTCTTATTGGCAGGTTATATGCAAAAACCCATTTTTTCAAGCTTAAAAACGGGCCTCGCATTATTTACCGGGTAGACTTATTCGCCGGGAAATACGATATATTCTTTATGTAACAGAATTTATTTTGAGACACTAAATTATATTATAACCTAACAAGTATATAATTCACAATCACTCGTTGAATGAGCCTATAAATTGATTATAATTAGACAAATGGCAACAGAACGTTGAAGAGTTGATGCGGAGTGCAAATGGTTTCATGGCGCAGAAAATATTCAAATGTCTTCGCGCGCTGCTTGACATTTAACTGAAATCTGTGTGAAAAAATGTCATTCATTGGCCATTCCCTCGGTTTTTAACTTCCTAAAAATATACGCGGCCCGCCAATGACTTGCAACCTTTATTTTGGCCTGCGAACGACAAAAGTTTGCCGACCCCTGCGCTAAACACATTGGAAAACGGGAGGCGGACAACTTGACTCACGAGAGGACAGATAAGTCGTCCATCTTTTCGCATTTTCGACAGCGACGTTTTAAGACAATAAATGTGTAATTTCAATCTTTTTACATTAAAATTTCACATCAAATTTTTGTTGGATGTTATTTAAGCAGTTACGACGTTTACATCACTAGACCCCAGAATTCAATATGCAAAGTTAAACCATTTTTAAGAGAATATACTAAAAGCAAGAACACATACTCACTCAGACGTAAGCTCATCTTTGAGAAAGGTTAAGGACAAACACTGAAATGCCAGTCGCCACTGAGATTACCGTACTTGATATTATGGTGGAAATTATTTGGTCACTCTTGTAGTACAATAAACATACAAATAGCTCTAAACAATTGAGTATTCCTAATATGGGCAATGATATATAAAATAAATGTGAGTAATAGCAATGTTATACCTATAGGATCTTTAAATACAATGAGAAGTCCATCGATCATTTTAATGATGCAAAACACAGGTCCCCCATTTGACCGTTTCTTTGATTCGAAATGCATTGTCAATTTTTGAATATGGGTCGTTGATGTATCAATACCCTGAACCAATACACATCTGTAGAATAAGGCATATCATCAGCATTGCTTACCCATTTTATTACACCATTTGCAAGATTGAGGGCATTGGATTTGAATATGACCCCTGAATCAAATCTACATCACTCAAATTTTTATACATGATATAATATGAAAAATGAATGCATGATAAACAGTTTTTTTTTATTTCTTGAAGCTTTTACTTTTGTGTTGAAAATCTTTTGTCTACCTTAAAAATTTGCCATTTTGCACGACTTTCTTTATAACAAAATATTTTACATTTGAGTGAAAAAAAATTTTTTTGTATTGCTTTACCTTATTTCATGACTTATTAATTTTATTATTTACTTTTTTAAGAAAATTTGCTTGAAGCAAGGCAAATGTAAGTGAATTTTATCGCTAAATCAGAACCAAAGAAGACTGATCTCTGAGCAAAACTAGGAATGGCGGATAAGGTGTCGATTGGTACTAGAATAGTGTTGAAAGTGTTCTACTTCTATGTATTCAAAATTTAGAGAGAGAATGTTTCAATTCATTACTAAAAACTTGTGTGACATGTTTATTCAGTTAAAACTAACAAATAAATTCATAAATGGAGAATAAATAGCTGGTTTAAATTATTCTACCTTGACCCTTCATCAGCAGGTAACACTGGTAAACTGCTCCAATAATATGAATTTTCATACAAATTCTTCTGAGTCATTAAATCAAGAATGTTAGTTCTTGGAACTTTCCTAGCAGGAGGTTTGGTGTGTTCTCGATGAGGTGTTGAACTTGAATGTAAATTCTCTGTGGCTCCGAAAGGGCCACCTAATAAAATAGAATTATAAAAAGATGGGAATTTTATAGCGATCAATTAATTTTAAAATTTTCAGTATATACCGTAGATATCATGATGTAAAGAAGCATTCTTAGATAATGCATTGAAATTCCGCTGTTTAAAATGTTTAAACCCTAATAAAACTGAGAATAGAAGTGATTTGACAGAATTATAGCTTTTATCCCATGTCAGTCAGTCAGTCAGTCGTTTATTTTTCACCAAAATGAAACATACACGTAATGCGAACAAAAATTAGAGAAAACATAAATAAAGGCATTTCATGGTGAAGGGTGACGCGAAAAAACCAATGTTGGTTATCTAGCAGCGACACCTGTGATAAATGTCAACTTTGATACAAGTAGAATAGAATAAATCAAACACATTTAAGCAGTGAAGGAAAGAATATCCAAGAAAATCCAAAACCGTAACAAAAAAAGAGACTCCAGGCACAACCAGAGTAACCATGGGCAACAGTATAGTAACATAACAGCAGTCTGACCACAGTCAGCGTCGTGGAACCCTACAAGAATATTGCTTTTGAGGCCGCGCGGTATGATAGTGGCCATGTACGCCGGGATACGTAATTAAGGCAGTTAGTTATTAAGAAATATATTTTGAAATATAAGCACATCTTGATGGTTACAATTATCTTGAATATGGGAGCAAGTTCAAGAAAGTATTGGCACTGTGGTATGGTTTCCAGAACTGGAGTCATTGGAAAATTAGAGGAAGGAATTGGTATTAGATGAAAATACAATCCAATTCATGTAAACAGAGAAATGGAAAATTAACAGGTAAATACATCATTCAATTCTATGTTGTGAACTAAGAAATGCAAAAAGTTGAAAATATGACTAAAATATTCCGCTGGTTGAAAAATTATATAATTCTCCTACCTTTGCCAATGTTAATGACACGTAGAATATAAGTTGAAGTTTTCCTTACTATAAAGCCCTTTTCAGTATAATGTATAATATAGGAATTAATGTAAAACCTGGTGTGGGTTTGAAATTCTCCAATATATTTAAATGATCGTTAGCAAGAGAATGATGATATAGTTCAACTTTAACAGGTTTCTTATTGATAATGATTGGCTGATCACAAGGAAATTTGAATTTTTCAAAAATTCGCTCAGCATCTATGAGAAATAAAATGAATTATGTGAAAGGCTGAAAAAGTAATTTTGCATGATTTCTGGAATTCTATGTTTGGATTTGCTTCAATTCAATGCTATGTAATATTTTTTATCAAAAAATTCTGCTTGCTTTTTCTTTGGAAGCATTGACCCCCTCATAAGGGTTGCGTAACAAAAATTGTATCTGAATATGGACACCTCTGAATCTGAATATGTTTTTCTTTTATTAGTAATCAATTTTTGGGACTCAAGAACTTGACACTTGGAGTATTGCTAAACAACAACAAATATTTATTCTGCAAATTTTTCTAGTTTGAACCATAACCATTTTTCAGAAACGTGTTTAAGGTAAAATTTTGGTGAATTCTTGTCCTATTTAGTTGCCTAGCACCAACTGACATGACAGAAATCTTTTCAAGTCAACCTAATATTGTGTACTTCTTTAATTTCTGGCTGAGTTGTTGAGCATTGGGTTTGTTTAACAAAAGATCTTTAACTTATGGCAGCAACATAGTTAGATCTGAGGCCTACGCAATATTTGATCATTTCCAGTAATTTAAAATAGAACAGCGAAGTACCTGTGTACAGTGCAAAATATACCAAAGCCTGGTTGTCTTTCAATCTATCAATCCTGGTGACGAGACCACCGCCTGTACGTTTTTTGCTTTCTAATATTAACCTTATTATACCATTTGTTGCGTCAGCCGGAATGTCGAATACTTTTAAACAATCTGTCCTCAGCAAAGGTGTGGCCTGATCGGAAAATTATTAATTTGCTTATATTAAAAATCTGTAAACAGAAAACAGCTGTCTAAAACTCAAATAGGAATGTGTTGTAACAAGATATTAGACATAGGTTATGGATAGGTACAAATAACATATAATTTTTGGCGCTCCCGTAGTAGGTGCACCAGGATGGCGCACAACCTGATTACCTTAACCTGGTACACATACTATGTTCAGGTTGTGCGCCATCTTAGTGCACACACTAAGGGAGCACCTAATATTTAACACAATCGGATAAGATTTTTGCATTTATTCCGGGGGTGAGGAAAGCTGATAAAATGGCTTAATAATATGCCGAACAAACCACGGCCTCTATGTTGGGTAACAAGAGAGTTGATTATTGAAAATAGTATTGTTAAGTATGCCAAACGACATATATGATTTAAATTTGGCTGAACAAATGTTCGTTGATATTGGTACCAAAATTACGAAATTTTCAAAAAATATACAATAAACACGTATCAGAATGTGGCAATATCGTCAAAAATATTTGCAGTGTATAACAACATACTTTAAGTGAATTTCCTTCCATTTTCTTTGCTCTTATATTTTGGAGAAGATTTTCAGTTTCTGATACATCTGAAAATGTGAGATATGCTACATGTAAATAAAATTAAAAAATTAAATTTTTGTGCACTCAAATTAAGTTGATTAATTTTTTTAACGTAAATAAGTGAAGCAGAATACTGAAAAAGATTTTTTTTCCGAATTACCAATAATACTGTTTTTTGAAAATTCAGCCAGGCGACTTGTAAATTACAACTGAAAGTTCACAATGAACAACGCTTTAGACATGTAGCCATAAAGAAAACCATGATTCGAATCACAGTTCAGATAAACCTAACTTTCTCGGGTCTTGTGATCATAGTCGGCATTGTTATGCAAACGCACTGCTTCTTTGATCCTATGTATTCTCACAAAATCGCGAGATTTATGTTTTGTACTAGTTTTAATATTTGTATTTTGAATCAAAAATTGTGTGAAATTTGTGAACTTTTTGCGACCCACAGTTTGGGAAGACCTGGTTTAACCAACCCACTGTTACAAATAATTAGAAAAATTTGTTTAAACAAGTTGTATGTACCGTATTCATTTCCATATTCAATTCTGTAAACACCAGGTAAATCAGTTTTCACACAGTTGCGTGGTGCAGTTTCATTCACAGAACAGCTTTCCAAATACATTACTAATGTATCCATAGTTATTTGGGCTCCAACACCCTGAAATAACAGAAAATTGATAGAATTTAGTATGCAAATGCTATATATGACGTTTATTCACTCCCTCTACACGCGGCCACTAATATCTAATGACATGAAAGGAGCCACTATTGTTTTGAAAGAACCGCTAGGCCATTGTGGAGCCTATATTAATAATATGTCGACATTTTAATCATTTCCTATCTAGCACGAAAATGATGAGCTGATACACAAAACATCAAAAAACTATAATACATCGCATCAAGAAAATTTGCAAGGATTACTAAAGTGGATACGAAATTGGTAATTAAGAGCAGTGAACAATGAGGAAAATTAGGTAGAACCATGTTTAGCAATATACACACAAGGCAGAGCAGTGAACAATGAGGAAAATTAGGTAGAACCATGTTTAGCAATATACACACAAGGCTTACCTTCAACACAAAGATATATTCGAAATATGAAGGAATTAATTTTGGGTAGATTATGATTTCCCCACCATCAAACTTTTGATCGTTCTTCTTAAGACAAGATTCACAATCTGCGAAAAGCAATTTAATACTTCCATACTATACTATACTGATTAAACTATATATGATGAGATGTTCTATACTGCATAGAACAGATACAGTTGTTTACAGAATTTGGGTCTCGCGAAGCAAACATCGTAACTGCATAAACACTCCCAAGCATAAATGTGGTGTGAAAATGAATGCTGTAAGTGCTTAAATAACGCCAAAATAAATTGTGATATGAAAATACAACCAAAAGTTTCATTTATTCTTTAAAACTAAAACTCCGTCTTGCGCGAACACAATACGCTAAACGCATGGGAAAACGAGAAGCGGACAACCTGACTCACGAGAAGACAGATAAGTCATCCACTTTTTCGCATTTTCGACGACGGCATCTTAAGACAATACGAGAGTATTTTTGATCTTTTTACATTCAAATTTCACATCGCATTTATGTTGGGTGTTATTTGAGCAATTACGATGTTCATTTCACAACACATATTTTTAGGCGATATTTAAGCAGTTACAACGTTTACTTCACTAGACCCCAGAATTCAATATGCCGAGTTGAACCATTTTTAAGATAATATACTAAAAGCAAGAACACACACTCACTCAGAAGTAGGCTCATTATTGAGAAAGGTTAAGGACAAACACTGAAATGCCAGTCGCCACTGAGATTATGGTGGCAATTATTTGGGCACTCTTGTGGTACAATAATCATACAAATAGCTCTTCTAAACAATTGAGTATTCCTAATATGGGCAATGATATATAAAATAAATTTGAGTAAGAGCAATGTTATACCTATAGGATCATCAAATACAATGAGAAGTCCATCGATCATTTTAATGATGCAAAACACAGGTCCCCCATTTGATCGTTTCTTTGATTCGAAATGCATTGTCACTTTTTGAATATGGGTCGTTGATGTATCAATACCCTGGGCCAATACACATCTGTAGAATAAGGCATATCATTAGCATTGCTTACCCAATTTATTACACCATTGGCAAGAATGAGGGCATTGGATTTGAATATGACTCTAAAATCAAAACTACATCACTCAAATTTTTATACATGATAAAATATGAACAATGAATGCATGATGAACAGTTTTTTTTTTCATTCCTCAAAGCTTTTACTTTTGTGTAGAAAATCTTTTGTCTACCTTGAAATTTGCCATTTTGCACGACCTTTTTCATAACAAAATATTTTACATTTGAGTGAAACATTATTCTACCTTGACCCTCCATCAGCAGGTAACACCAGTAAACTGCTCCAATAATATGTATTTTCATACAAATCCTTCTGAGTCATTAAATCAAAAAAGTTAGTCCTTAGAACTTTCTTAGCAGGAGGTTTGGTGTGTTTTTGGTAGGATGTTGAACTTGAATGTAAATTCTCTGTGGCTCCAAAAGAGTCACCTAATAAAATATTGATTATAGAAAGATGGAATTTTTGTAGCGATCAATTAATTTTAAAATTTTCAGTATATACCGTAGATATCATGATGTAAAGAAGCATTCCTAGATAATGCCTTAGAATTCCGTTTTTTTAAATGTACAAATCCTAATAAAACTGAGAATAGAAATGAATTGACAGAATTATTGCTCTTATCCCATGTCTAAAATATTCTGCTGGTTGGAAAATTCTATAATCTCCTACCTTTGCCAGTGTTCACAACATGTAGATTATAAGTTAAAGATCCAAATTCAATTTCATTTATGTTTGATCTATGAAACTGTTGCACACCTGAATGAGGAAAAAATTACAAATTATACCATCAACTTGTTGTATTTGTATTACATAAAGTAAATTGCTGTTTTATAAATAAATTTAATGTTTAAAATATTTTTACAGGGGGAGTAGGAGAAAATGATAGAATCATAGAAATGTTTGGCGTATGAATTACAGTAATTTTGGAGCAATCATAAATAATCCAAATGCTTATATTCAATTTCAAAATAATGAAACGAATTTAGATGGCATTTTCTTCATAAATTGTGGCCATAAGTACGGTAATAGAAACTAGAAACTAGCGCAGAAATTTTGCTTTTTTCACTATACAAAATTTTTTACGCAGTGCAGGAGACATAATGGTCAAATTGTTTCAAAATTCAAGTATTATTTATTTTCTTCTTTTTACCATAATAAATATAAATGTATGAGTATAAATTTCGTCAAATTGATTATTTTTGCATTTGCCCAATTGAGATAAAATCATGACAATATATCACGAACGATAGCTTCAAAATAAATTACAATAAAAAATATATATTTTCAGTGGAACACATTAGATGATATGCAAAACGAATTGTGCAAATGACCCAATTGCAATATAAAAGATCCATAACAGGTTGGAACTGTTTTTCAAAAAAATTCTACAGGAATTTAAGAATTAAAAAAAATCATGTAAACATGACACAATAAAAATTTATCATACCTCTTAGATTTTTGAATAAAAAAGTGACAGAGTCATTGTTATTTTTTGTCACATTTTCAACAATACCAGACTCGACCTGTTTTTCAATAAACAGTTTCAGCTTAATTACATTTAGTGCTGAAGGGAATCCAGAAATTGTGACAGATCTATTCTCCATCGCATTTGACTCGTCAATACATGTCTATCCGAAATAAGACAGATTATTGTATAATACACTATCAAAGGAATGTATATAATATATAACTGAAAAATAAAAATAAAATTTTATGACATTATGTAAATAAGGATTACGAAAATTTGGAATCAATGATTAATCTGATATGACGATGCATAAAAGAAAATTATAGAATCGATATTATGATTTAGTTTTGGGTTTACAAAATGCAAGGTCCTGAGCACTCGAAGAATACTGTCAAAAGGGGGCTCCAGAAGTATGTGTACAAAGATGACGCATAACCTGAATCCAAACTGGTACATACCTATGTTCAGGTTGCGTGCCATCCTAGAACACATACTTCGGGAGCACCGACAAAAGAGATGTAAACAACGAATAGCATACTAAGACAACAACACATTTATCCTTATGACAAAGTTGACTGTAGAAAACAATTGCATAGAGAATAAAAACAACTCAAGTCAACGCTGTCAGAAAACTGAAGGGTAGAGAAGAATTTACAAATAAACAGAAGTTCCTGAAAAAATGTTGCAGCATAGAAATATATTAAATCACTTCTACTACTGTGAAACATTTTATGTATAATGGTGAGTTGTATAGCAATTTCCACATATATATATAATACATATATATATCAATCATATAATATCCAAAACCCTTATGTTGTGGTGTGGCCAAGTAATTTAGATCCCAGTAGTTATTCAACTGATTTACTCATCTACAAGTTCATTTCTGTAAATGAGGGCAGTATTGATTGGGACTTGAGACAATAACTCAGTGCAATCAAGTGATCTAAACAAAATGATTTATTTTGAACTTCGCAAACTACCAGGTGCCAGAAAGATTCACTTTGAGACTTATAGATAATTTTAAGCAACCCTTTAAAATAGTGAATATAAACTTTGTCCCACATCCTTTAATATGTACATGGAAATCTGAAATTTAGTACATGGATGCAGAAGTAACTTGCAGCACAAAATCAAATCGTTTTATGCTCGTTAAAACTATTTCTGTTTATGTGTTTGCTTTGTCCCATATCAGCTGATATAGTAATACTGTAATAGCGCGAATGAGAATACGATTTTTGGATTTGTTATGATATTTCTGTATTCATTTATTTTGTGAGACGTCCTGTAGACTCTTTTTCTTTTTTACTGATCTGCCGAATACCGGGACGAATAAAGATAATTGGCTAGCTTTTATCAAAAGTGACCATGAAGGAAATTGATAGACCAGCCCCACCCAAGCCCTCGTCGCCAGCGAACTCGGAACACTGAAACAGGAACAGCGGAATCGATTCTGGGGATTCCCGGTGGCCCATGCACATCTCTATTTCCACTTGTTGTTGCCCACTTGGAATTGATGTATCGTTGTGCTTGGTTATTAATTATTTCAGCCATAAAAATGAATTCCACCTGGCTAATCGTTTTGTAAGTGTCTACTGCTAGTAGTATTACTATTTACTTTCATTATATTCTCCCTTTCTGTACCGATGAGTTATTAATGGGAATTTAAGCACTATTCACTCAAATAAGTATATGTTTTTTAGAATAGGATTTACATATATATATCCCAGAGGAGTGGAAAGCCGATAGGACGGCTCAATCATATGACGAACCACGGCTCTCATTCGGTTACCAGTCCATATCGGATATAAGATTGTTTGCCGTTTTTCCATACATTTAGTGTCCAATAATAAGAAGAAAATGGAGATTCTCAAATATATGAAGACGAAAGCAAAAGCGAAGTAGTACGGGTATGCAACCCGATGTACCGCAAACTTCACATGTGACGAAAACCGTAACATAATACCGAAAACTTCCCGTAAACCCCGTAACCGCCACAAGGCGCTCATTTTTGTTGACGTCATCGCACACAAAATACCAATCCCATAGACCGCAAAGAAATAAAAGTAATAGCCTTTCATCGAATGATACAATCTTTAACTGCTAAAAATTTCCAAGTAATTGATCCGGTAGATACTGATAAAAGTGATTTTATTCACACTGTAACAACAAAATGAAACATACCAACAAGAAAAACAACATAACAACTAAACGATCCATATGTCCACTTAATGTACAATATTAAAACCATCTGTGTGTACATTTCGTGTCCAAAAAGTTTGGAGACTATAGTTTCACATTGCTGGTATTGTAGATGAGTATACTTTTGGTGAATTAACCAGCCAACATTTATATCTGGTTGAATTCTTTTTAATTTCAGTTAATAACTCGTGATATGTCTTACCAGCTTTCATCTCCCCGTGATAAATGTGGAAATCTTATACTTTTATTTACATTGAGTGCATGTGTACTTTTCTGCCTACCCTATACTATCTCACTCATATCAAAACGAGAGCTGTTATTGGCCATTGGTCGAAATCCCATAATGACATATATTTATGGTTCTGAATTATGCTTTGCGGAGGTTTTAAAATCAACACGTCGAATTCTGAGTTCTTCGTAGAAACTTCTGTTGGCGATAAATTCATTCTACAATTGATTGCCTTCCATTGCCTATGTAATACACCATTTTATTGCACTACTACAATATTTTAAAGTAACTATAAGAATGGTACGTTTCTGTTGTTTTTCGTCAATAATTATATCATGGTTCGAGTGCTTGCTTGCATGCTACATCAAGCATCTGCTATTTACAATAGACAACTGACTTATGGCAGCTGACACAGGTTGAACATAGCGACTAGTAATTGTTATGTTTAATTTTTGCTAAGTATATGAAGCAAAATCTTAAATCCTTCAATAGATTTTTGTTGTATTCCGATTAGAAGATCTTGTTATCAACATACGATTTGTTGTACGCCAGCTCATTAAACTTAGGTTATTCGAGTAACTACATGCTTTTAGGCCAAAAATATGCGTAATCTGGGGGTTTGAACAATTGAGCAATTCATGAAACAGTGATACAACGAGAAAGGAGAAAGAATATAAATGGATTGGGCATAATTATTATTTTCTCAATCCACAATTTTCTTTAGTTTTCGAATTATTTGTGAATGATATTCTTGTATCTGGAGCATAACTTAGGTTGATAATATGAGAATAATAAATTAGCAAAACGTATGGCAATCCTATGATAATGCAATATTAAGTATATATAACCTTTTAAGACTTTAGCAACTAGTTGATATCAGTCATACAAAACATGTCTATTATACAAATACTGAATCACTGTGTTGCATTCGCAATATTGCTCAAAACTGCCACATTCCAGAAAGTATGCTTTGACGGCGATACAGAAACATGCATCTGCGATAGAACCGAAAATTCAGGAACTATTATCTTGACACGTATGGGCAATAAAGTCAACGAACCGTGGTATGTTCCTCGTCCTAATTTAATACAAAAAAGCAAGCTCACGAACTCTAAAGTAAAGCTGTAATCACCACCATAGCGAAGACTAAATGTTATTGTCGAGACACGATGGGCTAGAGTTCCGCAAATTTGGTAAATTAACGCAAGCCGAAAAATAAAATGTAAAAAAGTTAGTATTCGGAAACAGACGTATGTACCTGAAATTTGATTGATGTAATTTAAATTTAATGTAAAATTTGCCCATTTCAACCCCAAATTACGTTTCGGCCATGTTGGAATGTAAATAATATATATATATATTTATGTAAATTTCGTATAATGCATTTACAGGTTCATCTATCTTCCGTCATCGATGTATCCGTTTGTATCGATGTATCAGCTCATGTACTCATATAATGAAATCACGTATTGTTATTATATAAGTGGATTATCGGTTAGTAAACTACTTTGAATATTACAGTCGAGAATCTTGCGGTGGAAAAATATTTGATATTTTAATAATTGAAGCAATTTACTGTAAAAATAGCGAGGCTTATTTCGTCGGAAGTTATGTAACTTTTATAGGTTTTCTATTTTCTTCTTTTTGTACAAAAATTAGTGGTGAACAAATAGGACGGACACATTTTAGAGTATATATGGACTAAGCATGACTTGGCATATTTATGTCAGACGTATTATTTATAATCGACTAAAATAAAACAAATATCATGAACTATAGCGTCAATTACCCTATTTTAGATTGCAATGATTCCGGGAGAAAATCCAATTCCGTGAATGGATGTTGGAGTCATGAATTCATCAACATTTGGTGAAAAAGGGAAAGGTCAAATTAGTATCCATTATTGGATTCTGTCTGATTATTGGAAATTTCGCTGTATTATTTTATCCATGGGAACACTGGCTGTCCGGTTTGATTCTGTAAATTATTTCTATTTTTTGTGGGTACCGGTGGCGTCAAAGGTAAATACTGCCTCGCTCTGGTTAACGTGTCCATATATTTGAGCACAGCTCTCTTGTTATTCATATGATATGGAAAGGTAGTTCACATCATATATTTAGATCCCATTCCAACTGAAGCCAATTGCTGTTTTTATGAATTTTGCTATTTTTCCTATGTTAGCACTTGCAAATAAAACGCATTCGCAGCTTTTGTTATTGTGACCGTTGTTTCTGTGGCGCTGATCATATATTTGGTTGTAGGTTGCTTACATATGATTTATATTTTATACTACAAGGAAGGCTGTTGTTTACTTGAAATGCAACTCATCGTCTCACAAAAACACTTTTACTCAATTGGAGACGAATATGCGCTTGTTCATCTTATGAGTATTTCTTACATAATATGTAATAACTATAAGTGATAAGGTAACTCAAAAGCGTCTCCTATCACAATTCCAATCTGTGATCAAAAACTTTATCATTTTGAAACATTTTGATATTTTGCTTTTGTTGGAGTTGTTGTCTCAATTGCCTCAAATCGTATTGCCTCAATTGATGGACCCGTCGATAGCAAATGTGCGACGCTGCTACCTAATGTTGGAATATGTCGCCATTACTATTTTGGAACCTCCAGAAGTATTTGTACCAAGATGTACAACCTGAACATAGTAGTTGTACCAGGTTAGGGTTCAGGTTGTGCGCCAT